GGGGGGGGGGGGCGGCAGGTGGAAAACGGCAGCGCTAATAGGACAGCGGGTATAGAGGCTACATTCAATTTCATAAGAGTAACCTGTCGCACTGATCAATTGAAATGCAAGCTCGGCCTACGTGCCGGAAACTCGTTAGGCCATGCGAGGACTAGCAAACGCTAGACTGCCGAGTCTCGTTTTGATTTGATTGTCTCTGCTACGTTTAACAAGCCTAGAGCCGCACGCACGGATTTTTTTTAACGCTCGAGCAGTCTTTGTATTAAGTATTCTGGAATTTCTGATGACCTCTAATTTGCATCGCAAATTGATTTAATTGAGGACACGGCCCAGAACCGGCTTATCGGTGACGTCATAGGGTCTTGGGTGTCGAGGAAATCGGCTGTTGCACTTTTAATCGTTATTTAGCGCGGATCTTCATGACGCGTCGATCAATCGTGAGTCTTGGTCGGCAGTGAAGACGCTGCCGAAAAATCTTAAGAGAAACCACGTGGCGAGAAGGGAGCTTTGATTAAGAGTATGTGTTTCTTGTTCGTTGCAGCCATGAGTCCTGCGCTGGGAATGCATCCAGGTATGCCGCATCTCCAACAACTGCAAGCTCATCTCTTGCGCAACGTGGCCGCCGCTGCTCTCTTACCTCACACCCATCCCCTTCAGCCCCCACCTCAACCCCATCCTCATTCCCATCCTCATTCGCACGGTCTCGGAGCACATTCGCAACTCTTTCCGGTCCCACCTCATTCGGCAGCATCCGTCAGCCTGGGACCTCACGGTGGGCTACCACCAAAGAGCGAGGTAAGTGCCACCTTCGATTGACCCCGTCCTGAAGTGGTCCTGGTTATTGAGAACTTGGGTAACGGTTCAACGTAAAGTCCTCGAGTTCTCTATTACCTGCTCGCGGTTCCTGAGGTAGCGCTCCTCCAAGGTCACTAAATCCCAACAACGGATACTCGATCGTTATTGGTCGACGTGAAACAATATTTACCTGGAGGCCCGTCATCGATTCAGTTGAAATAAATAAGCGTTGCGACTCATTCGCCTCTCGCCTCTCGCACACAGAAGGCAAGTGAAGCAAAACTCGGCTGGCGATTCTCCATCGTTGTTCAACCTGCGCCAACCGAAGGATTGGGTTACCGCAAGGTCCTCGGGTTACAACCAATCTCGCGCACATTATTTCGCCTCGTTCTTTTACGAGGCTGCCTGCCCTCTTCATCCTCTTTCGCTTCTCACTGATTGTGAGCGAGCGAGCTCACCGCTCGGTCCTCTTTCATCCTCGGCTGGACCAACCGCTAACCGCTTCCACTACTCTCCACCTCGGCCGAACTGCAACTGCCGTTGCTCTCTTGCCCTCTGATTTATTTACATCCCCGACAGCATTTTCATTTTCTTCCTTGGTCCAGCAGCGCAGACTCCTTCCCCCACCACCAGCACACCGCCTGTCACGTCTGCATGCTGTTAACTCTCGGCCGACTCCGATTGCACCGCATTGCATTTCTGCTACCACCTTTAACTCTTCTGATGTTGACCATCCATTACCTGGGCCTTGTGCTCTCTTACTCTTCGGGGCCCCACTGCTGCGACCCATCCCTCGTGGGTTACGCGTACCTTGTACAGGTAGTTTGCAATCACGTCGATAGATCCTGCAAGATCGAGTGCGCCAATGGAAGGGTGACTGGCTCCTTCGCAACTGGTACCCACGTGTCGATTCGATACGGGTGTGCAGGTGCATGTGCATTTGCGGGTATTCGTAGTTATGTCTATATCAGGGAATGCCTGAGTTGCGCGAGACGCGCTGAATGCTTTACGAGCGACAATCGCAACGGGCGAATTAATCGATTCTACCTTCTTGAGCGAGCGGCGATAAACGAGGAATCGATCGAACGCTCATTTATTGATTTACATGGGTATATTCCCTCGTGAAACTTCTTCACCTCGGTATACGACTTTATGAGTTCATTCCACTTCAGCAGGGGCCGGAATCCTGTAGAAAAGCTTCGGAAGCTTCCAACAGGTCCATTGCTGCTGAAGCCGATACTTCCTCGAGGAGGCCGTCGGCGAAGGTCAAGAGGGAACCTGCGACGACGACGACGACGACGACGGCTCCGCCGACCCATCCGCAGGGTCTTAGTCCTAGTGAAGATCTTAGAGATGAACCTGGCGACTTCATTGAAACGAATTGTCACTGGAGAGACTGCGGCCTCGAATTTCCAACTCAGGTTAATAATACGAATTTTCATGGGATTTCGATTTAAATTAAAGAAAAATTCGAAATCTCATATTCTATAATCTGGACATTTTCCTTTTGTCTACTTAGGATGATCTTGTGAAGCACATAAACAATGATCACATCCATGCGAACAAGAAGAGCTTTGTGTGCGGGTGGGAGGACTGTTCGAGGGAGGAAAAACCATTTAAAGCTCAATATATGCTGGTTGTTCACATGAGACGACACACGGGTGAAAAACCACATAAATGCACGGTAAGCTCAATTTTCGCATAATCCTTTCTAAGGCGACGCTTCCGTTACCGGCGCTCATCTGGTTTAATCTTCGCTTCCTATTGGCAGTTCGAAGGCTGCTTCAAGGCCTACTCCAGACTGGAGAACCTGAAGACTCACCTGAGGTCGCACACAGGCGAGAAGCCTTATACCTGCGAGTATCCAGGATGCAGCAAGGCTTTCAGTAACGCTAGCGACAGAGCCAAACATCAGAACAGGACTCACTCCAACGAGGTATTTTTCAAAATCATTCCCACTATCTGAAAGCTTGCCTTCTTCGGTCCCGGGAATCGTAGTAATTTTGGGGGATTTTTCAGAAACCGTATGTCTGCAAGGCGCCCGGATGCACCAAGAGGTACACTGATCCGTCGTCACTGAGAAAACACGTAAAGACTGTTCACGGGGCGGAATTCTACGCTAACAAGAAGCACAAAGGTGGCGGCGGCGATGGCGGAGGAAGCGACGAAGCCGGTGCAGGTGGACACAGCCCAAGTAGGAGCGAAGATCTTCATCCGAAGACACCGAGCCTGTCGAGTCCAAGTGTCAAATCAGAGAGCGAGGCCAACAGTCCGCCAAGTATGATGCAGCAACAGGGTAGTCCCCTTGTTGGGGGATGCACTGATGACGTCAGCGGAGTCGGCGGAGTCGGAGGCGACGGCGTTGCACTCGCTGAGGAACCTTGGAACGAGGAACCGGATGACCTCGACATTGCTGATCTGCCTGTTGCACTTCGCGCTATGGTCGGTCTTGTAATATATAATTGCGTTTTTATTTGTATTGTGGAAAAAATGTTTCTACGACCTTGTTTTTCAGGTTGGGGGTATGGAATCTCAACAGGCACCACCACCATCGAGAAATCGTTTGAAGGGAAGACTGAACGCCAAGGTCATACCGCCACTTCCGGTTGGCGTCACAGGATTGAGAGCTGGTCGCGGCATCGGTCCTCAGGGCAACATCGGTGATCTCAACAGGAGAATTACGGATTTGAAGATGGAGGGCGGTACCAGGCAGACCAGCTTGTCTGATCTCCAGTTGAGGCTGCAGCCCTTGAGCGAACCTCGAAGAGACAGCAACAGTACTGTCAGTACCTATTACGGTAGCATGAGGTCGGCGGACTTTGGAAGTAGAAGAAGCAGTCAGGCCAGTGGAGTCAGCGCTATCAGAATGGGTCCTGCTGGACCTGGAAGCTTCTACGATCCTATTAGTCCTGGGACTTCTAGAAGAAGTAGCCAACTGAGTACGACTTCGGGCAGAGTTAATCCTCCTGGTCATCTTCAGGGACCTTATTCCACGAGCAACCTCGTAGTTCAAACCCAAAATATGTCGCTTCAGGTGAGTTTTTTTTTATTTCGTCATAACAAATGGACTCGAGGATCTATGTGTATTCAATAATGCATTTACAATGATTTCAGGGCGTTCAGGGCATGCCTAGTGACTGGACTCCTAGTGGACATTGTCTGCAGCCCTCTGGTGATCGCAGAATGTCGGAACCTGCCCGAGGTCATCAAGGACAAAGGACCTCGCCTCCTATGCCACCAAGGCCAAGATCGGCCCAGCTTCCAGAGCTTCATCCAAACCAAGAAGTCATCCTGGACGAAGTCGGTGAAGGGGAAATGGTCGAGAATAAATTAGTAATTCCGGATGAGATGATGCAGTACCTGAGTCAGGTTAGTACATTATTTCATCTTCCTACTCGTCTTTATAATTTCCGAGAATCGATAGACAAATTAAGCTATTTGCCCCCATCCGATTACAGGTGCAGGCAGGAGGGAATCAAGTCAGCTACCGGGGTAGTCCTCTTCCAATCTGTCAATCGCCAATCTGCACGAATCCTCTTCATTACCAACGACAACAGCCGCCATGCAACTACAACCAGTCGCACCAGCAGAGCTGCTATCCACAACAAAACTCACAGCAGAATTGTTCAAATTACCAGAACATGTCTCCATCCTACTCGCAGTGTCCCAGCTCTCGCATGAGCCAAGCATCAGGTTACTGTCCACCTCAGACCTACGGGCCTCAATCCTGTGCCTCGCAAATGACCAGTCCAGCTGGTCAGGTAATGTCTCCAGGTCAAGTGATGTCCCCTGGCCAAGTAATGTCACCCGGCTCTCACTACGCGCCTAGCCACGTGAGCGATCAGCCAATGACGTCACCAGCAGCAGGAGCACTGGCACCGCAACATGGACCTCACAACATCCAGCCAAATTCTGCCCAGATGACGAGGAACTGTACCCAGAATCATCCACCACATGCGTATTACCCGGGATACGGATGTCAGGGTCAGGCCAACGTCAACTGTGGCCAATCCAATCATTCTAATCAATCCTGCATGCCAAATCATCCTTTGGGACAACAATGCGTTCAGATGCGTGCTGGGCCAAACTGTCCGCAATTGTCACCACATTGTGCTCAGCCACCAGCGACCAATCAAGCGTCGATCAATCATGCAAACAACCAATGCGGCCAATCAGGTAATTCCTGTAATCAACCGGTGCACCCGCATCATGGAAACAACGGGAATGCTTCCAATCATCGAACGATGCCTATACAAAATGGGCCAAGTATCCCAGGCATGACGAGTCATGGTCCAGCCCAGAATCAGTGTCCCCAGATGTCGCCACACTGCTCCCAGCAGCCAACACTGCAAAATCCCAAGCCAGGAACAAATTTGACCAATCTTCAGAACCCAGCCGGAGGGCAGTGTTCGCAAATGGCTCAAAACTGTACTCATCCCGGGAGTCAACAAGTGGCCGGTCAAGGTGTTCCCAAAGGAATGACCCAACTGTGCCCGCAAACCAATTGCAGGATACAATCCTGCAGCCACAACTGTCAACCTCAAGCCAATTCCAACCAGTACAGCTGCAACTGTCCATGGGGCTACAACTCGGAGCAGTGTTACCATACTCACGGGAGCAACATGCCCGAAATTCAATGCAGAGACATCAGCCAGTCGCAGCAGGGGTCGCCGGTGAAGCTTCCTCAGGGAATGAGACAGGACTCCTACAGGAGGACCCTGGAGTACGTGCAGCAGTGCAGGAACTGGTCTGGAAATACGCAGCTGCACGAAACTAACGTTTCCAGCTCGACTCATCCGATGTCACTGCCCCAGCCATTACCCTCAAGTGCCAATATGGTGGTCAACGACATGACAACCTCCTTGAGTTCGTTGCACGAGGAAAATCGATACTTACAGATGATTCAATGAAGACTGGAAAAGGCAGAGACTGTAACGATCTTACGACGACCTTCCGATAAGTGCCTGATAACAGAATCGGAGCCACCCAGCATTTAACTTCGTGAATACCTTAGTATTTTTTGTAACCGAATGAATTAAGGCATCATTACTTTTGAACCTATGGAAATAATAAAAAAGTGATTCGGTCTCGTGGGTTGGCAATAATGTGCCTACTCTACTTTTATACGTAGAGAGCAAACGCGTCGTGCCTTGACAACTTAATTTATTGTAACCTAGAATTAACACGAAGTGCCTTTATAAGTAAATCGCGCACGTCGCCAAGTCGTTCGCGATAACAAGAAAAGCTCAACTTTTGATAGCCTATCGAGAAACTTCATCATTCGCATCATCCATTCATTTTTGCCTTTCCTTCATTCATCCTTTTTTTTTTATCAATGATAAGCGATTCGATAAGCCCCAACATTACCCGGTAATTCATTGATAAGAGAATCGAACCTTCAATTATTTATCATTCACTCATCGTGATTCGCGACAATCTTCTGCGTTTTCATTCTTCCATCGATCTAATTAATGTATGATGTAAAGCATAGGGAAAACCCTCCTAGCAGCCATATACAATTTTTGTAATTGATCATATGCATTTTATTCATTTTTCTTATTTCTCGAGTCTCATTCTCACCAATGAGCGTACGACGTACGCTGTGATAAGATAAGAAGAGCCTCGGGTATTGACGATGTGTTATATTTTTATTTTTCATTTGTTTTGTTTTTTTGTGTTTTTCTTTTGTCAGCCCTTTGTTTTTACTTGTTTTTTTTTTATTCCTTACGATACCCACGAATGACGGCGATGACAATGACAATAATTATGAACGTGATGCTCACGTTGACAATAGTAATACTAATGACTCTAAATGATAGATATGTGACTCACATAGGCATATAAGTAATACACAAAAACACAGAGATGGCCAATACTAGTTTGTAACGTATGTAGATAGAAAATCGAACGTGTATGTAGAGTAAGTATTTTCCATGAAAATTATTTTGTAAAAAAAAAAATTAAGGACTCAACGTACGTCCGTATGTTGCTGACGCTCTTTACTTTTTTTTTTTTTTTTTAGAAACCCATCAATCTATTTTGAGAAAAAGGGGAAATAGAGAGTAAGAGTTACGTGAAATGGAAAATACTTATGTACTTAGGATATTTAGAGTAATTAGCTGTTTTTGTTATACAAATTATTTTGTACGAATTTTATTATCGACCTGAAATGCTAAAAAAAATGGAAACCTTGTGAATACTATACATATCTTATATAATCTATGCGACGGAGAAATAAAGTGAAGGAATCAGAGTGAGAGTAAGAAGGAGTTAAGACAAATTTTATGAAGGATCTTAAAGAATTGAAAAATTTACTGCCTGAAATTGTTAATTATTTGAAAAATAAATTTCGAAAATCATTATTATCCCTAAAAACAGCTGCACGTCAATAACTCACTGACAAAAGTTTATTTCAATCAAATACACAGCCAAAGGTAAAAAACAGGACGAGATAAACATTAATTAAAGTGACGTTCGCCATGAACAATAAGGGACGCCACTTACAATCAATCGGATTATGAAAACATCAGGAACAACATTTAAATTACAAGTAACAATAGATCAGTAATCGATTGAGAATTCCTATAGAGGCTTTTACGGTTTCATCGGTACAGCAATATACCTCGTCACTTCCTATTTCTTTTTCGATTATAAAATCGAAATATGTAACAAATTAGAAAAATACTAAAAAGTCGTTTCATTTTAACAAATAAATTAAACTTTCGTTCGTCTCGAATTCGCGCGCGATTCGTCGGTCATTTCAATTCTATTTATACATAATACATTTCGCTTTTTTAAGGTTTGATGTTAACCTCCATTTGTGCTATCATACAAAAGTTATTATTATAACGTCGATAAGACAATTTTGTCGAACCCGTTAGTTTGTTTGAAAAAACGGGCCTGAGACTCCCAAAATGTTTCTGCCCACAGACAGAATTGGTCTGAAGCTTTTGAGCTCTTAAGCTTTTTCACTCAGCTCGGCAAGATAAGCTCAAATGAGAATAGAGGCCCTTCTCTCATCCCTCATAGGTATATCTCAATAATTGCCTGATCGATCGAAATTTTCAGGGCGCATTGTCAGGTGGGGATTCGCTGTCATTGACGTAATCGGTCGTTGATAATCTTCGAGCAGGAAGTACAGACGGCATCGGGGGTGGAGACGGTGGAAACGGTGGGTCCTAAATGGAAATTAATCAGTAGGACATTTTTTGAATTACTAAAAATGTATTAGGTTATATTTACCTTAGGAGCTTCCAAATCTGTCTGAATTCGAAGACTCGGTAACGAATTTGGCAACGGTGGCGGCGCCGGTGGTTCACCATAGACTTCATGAAGTTCCTCGAGTCTGGTACTCAGAGCGGAACTTCTTTGGCTGGTAGCATTCATTTTTTTCATCAGCCAATCAGCTTGCTCTTCAAGCCGCTTCAATCTGGCTGCACGAGAAGCTAAAACTTCCTCAGGAGTGCGATTGGGTCTCGTAGCGGAAGAGGAGGCAACTGTTTCCGGTGGTGAGGTAGATGGGTTTTCCACTTTTTCTACTTTAACGTTCTCGACTACTGTTACCTTAGCAGAATTGTCAGAAGGGTCTTTAGTCGTCGTTTCTTCGTATTTTGGTGTTAACACTGGAAATTCTTTGACAGTTTCCAAACTCGAGGTTGATTCGATAGATATATTGTCACCTTCTGTCACTTCCGGTTTGAATGCACGCTCCTCTTCCAACGACACAATCCCTTGGTCGGTCGCGTTCGAACCGAAAACTGTAGCAAAAAGGTTATTAGATGGACCCATCACCAGAGGTTCACTGAACTGAACACTTTTCACGGGTTGAGATAACTTGGGGCTTGGAAAGGGTCCAATCGAGAAGACAGACAGCGTGGGTGTGGTATTGGAAGGCCTTGGATCATCTTCGAGGTTCACAGAATCTTTCTCACCCTCGAGATTGGCTGTGGTCACCGGGTCGAACCTCTCGATCACCGAAGACGATCTGGCCACCTCGATGAAGTTGCTGGTCGAAGGAGCCGCCAACTGTCCAATGATCTCTAGGCTGCTCTCTACTGGTTCGGTTATGGCATTGAAAACTTCAAGGTCCAGAGCCGATGTGCTTTCTGAAGGCGGCTGCGAGGATGACCTTTCTAGGTAAGACTCTTTTTGTTTAGATGACTTTTTTGATCCTAGCGTACTCAAGTCGAACTCTCCCATCCAGGATGTCCAGGGCTCGCTGTGAGGACTCCATTCGCGGGCACTTCTTTTCGAATTCCTTCTTTTCGGACTTACGCTCTTTGACTTATTCGCGGAACCTGACTCGCGGAAACTACAAGAACCTGATGGCATCGCGATGCTCTCTCTGGACGTGGATGAGGTACTGCCGCCGGAGGTGCTGTCTATTTTTATCAGATTCTGGATGACGTTCGTCAGGGCACGATCCAGAGGATTCAGGGGTTCGCTGTCAGGGGTGCACTGGAATATTTTCAATCGGGTCGAGTTCAAGCTACTGAATTATTCCAGAATTTGTAGATATTTAACATTACTCTTACGTCTGGTTCAGGGGTCGCGGGTCTAGGATCACTCGCATCGACTTCTATGATCTCAGAATCAACTTCAGCTTCTGTTTCTGGTGTCGGAGTTCGCTGTTCTAAAGTTATGGACGATCCAGTTTTGGATTCGGATAATTCAGTGTCCGTTGGTTGTTCGGATTCCGTGTCAGGGGTAGGCACCCTTGGACTTTCCTGAAGCAACCACGGATTGGGATGAAGCAGACTTTTATAAATCATTTTTTACAATTTACGAACCTTCCTGGCTCTTCGTCGAGGACTGATTCTGACTCTTTCCTCGACAGCCTCGTCCTCCTCATCCGAGTCATCACCGCGCTCGTCGCTGAATCCACTTTCTCCACTGTAAATAAAAAATACTTAAAATAGATGTCTAATAAAAGAAGTGAAATGTGGAATTTCATTGAAATTCTAAAATAACCTGTTATTAAAAGAATCCTGTGCAGCCAGTGCCTTTCTGGCTGCAAATTCTCTTCTCAGGCTTCTCCATTCTATTTCAGTATTTGTATTCTTCTGCCTGGCAGATTCCCACTTTTCTCTACAATACTCCAATTCCTGCTTCAATTCCTGAAGCATCTTTCGCTTCTGCTGAAGCTCGTACCTCAGAATTTTCTCATGAGTATGAAGCTGCTGATGCTGCGCCTGCATTCGACCCACTATATTCCACGTTTTACTCAATTCATCCGAAACCATTGACAGTCTTTTCTCCTGTGAATAATTAACAACAAAAAATAAACAATAAACAAACAATCACGAATCTCACAAAATTATTATCAATAAAATTCCTTCGTCCACCTGTTCTCCTAATTTGCTTTCCAGATGAGTATTCAGCTGTTTCATCCTATTCATCTCCTTCTCCAAATGTTTCTTCTCCAGGATCAGCTCCTTCAAACGTATATAAGTCTTACTAACTGAAATAACCAGCCTGGGTCCCGTGGGAGTATCCACAGATTTGTAACAGCTATCGGGGGCAGACGAAGACGAGGCTGAAACTGCAGGTGCGCCTACGGCATGGCAACTCAACAATTCCAGCAAGACACGCCACACCTATAAAGTGTTATCGGATTAGTCGAAATTTTGAATTTGTGAGAGATCGATGCTGATATCTTTTTTTTTGGACCCTGACTTTTGGTAAATTATGGGCGATATTCTCTTCCTGGGGATCCTCTTCTTTTTTCTCTATTTCAGATCCGGATGACTGAGCTCTGTTTCGACCTTCGACCTGTTCCACTATGTCTAGAAGAAGTTTTGGCAGTGCTGCTGCTTCAGTACCTTCCTCTCGTGCCATATCGCTTATTAAATCGTGATTCTCCTAGTGTTTTGATATCGATTGATTAGAATTTCATTGTGAGTACGCTAAATGTTGGGAACTAAAATGAATCCATTTACCTGCAGTAATCGAGTCAACCTGTCTAAATCCATATCGGCGGAGGACGCACTGAGCAGCATTTGTGTAAAAAGACTATTGATAACGGACATTTGATTCTGAAGGTCTCTGCAGTCCGCTTTGGTCAGACCAAGCTGGGATTCCAAATTTGAGATTTCTGTATCTTGGATATCAATCTGAAATATATATAAAATTCATAAGTAATGATGATTCCATTTTATGGATACCACTTTGTTTATTACTATTTTATATACCTTGTCTTCAGCCTTTTTCAAATCTTCTTCCAATCCTTCGCTCTTCTTTCGAGCAATTTCAAATTTCTCTTTAACGTCAACCAATTCTTTAGTGGCCGAATCTTTCAAAACGTTCAAAACTTTTAAACGCTCTTCGTACAAACTTTTCAAATTTCGAATATTATCCAATTGCTGGTCGTACTCGTACCTGACGTCATCCGAAATTTCTAAAAAGCTCCTATCCCCGAGTCTAGCCAAAATTTGAGCCAGAAGATCCTTCAACTTGTTTATCTGCCTCTCCCTTTGCTTAAGAATTTCACGACTTTTACTATTAACTTCCTTTAACCTTGAAATCTGATTTTCGTGACCTTCGTGATTGCATTCCAGCTGATACTGAAGGTCATCAATTTTTTCCGTTTGTAAGCGAATGTTGTTCTTCAGCTCATCAGAAATCTAAAAAAAGAGTCCTATCAGTTTCAAAACTTACGTCACTCATGTGCAGCCGTACAGAGTCTTCGTACTCTTACCTTCAAAGTATCCGCCAGTCTTTGAGCTTCCATTCTCCTCAAAGTCTCCTCGTGCGCTTCTTTCTCCATTCTCACTTCTTCCTTCAACCTTCGAACTTCCTCCGTACCCGAGTCATCGAGCCTCTCAGAGTCTTCGCTCCTTGACGCTGGTCCACCTTGAGCAGACTTCAGCAACTCCAAGACCTTCGAAGTCTCAGAATGTGCTTCCTTCTCAGCATCCAACTCGCGTCTGAGTCGCTCCATCTCGGATGAAACAGCCGCTATTGCTCGCTGTCTGGCTTCTCTCTTGAGGGTCAATTCCTTCTTGAACTCCTCCATGTTGCTGGCGCGATTGCTCGTCGCCTCTTCAGGTACCTCAGGTACTTCCTCGCTCGTCTCAATCGCTTCTACTACTGGCTCAAGGACCTGAACGTTCCCGTCAGGACTCAAGTCCTTTTTCTCAGCCTTAACTGCTTCCTTCAGTCTTTGGATTTCCTCGAGGGCATCCTCGAGGGCCTTTATTTGCTTCTTCTTATCGGAAACTTCCTCGGACAGCTGAGCTCGCAGCCTCGAGCACTTCTGGCTCTCGATGCCTTTGATCTGCTCCTTCTCCAAGAGAGACTTTTGCAGATCCTGCTCTAAGCTCGAGATCCTTGCTTTGGCAGTGTCCTTCTCTAGATGGAATGCATCAAGCTCCTTGAGTAAGCGCACTGTCTCCTCTTTTGCAAACTCGAAACCCTCCTGTAGCTTCTTGAATTCTTCCGTGCGCTCATTCAAGTTCAATTCGACCTTTTCGTATTGCGTTTTCGAAATCTAAACAAAATTATTCGTTAAAAAATTGTTTCTCAAAAACAACAATCCCAATGAATTATTCGATACGTTACCTCATAATCTTCTTTAAGCTTTTCTATAGTCTCCTTCTGCAGCTCCAAGTCGTGCCTGAGTTTCTCATTGATTTCCTGAGTTTCGAACCGATCAGTCTTCAGCTTCTCAATCTCATTCGTTAATCTAACTATTTCGTCGTTCTGCGACTTCTCAAAGATCTTCTCACGGGATTTCCTCGACTCTTCGGCGTCCTCCTCCTGTCTCAACTTCGTATCCAGTCCGACCATCCGGTCCACAGCCAGGTCATACTTCCGCTCCAGATCCTCCTTCATTGTCTGAGATTCGCTTCTTCCCTTCACGTTATCTAGTTCTTCTTCTAAAATATGAATTCTATGTACGGCCTTTTGATACTCGTGATTCAAATCATCACCAAAGTTATCGCTCGTATGTTTTGACCTTTCCGTTTGTAGCTGCTTCTCCAAATCATCAATCTTGGCCATTGCTTTTTCATAATCTGAGCTTGCAGCTTGTCTTTTTACCAAAAATTGAACCTCGACTGGTCCCGATGCCTCGACGCCATTATCTCTACTCGAAGAATTTTTCGAACTTTCTAAATTTCTTAAAAGATTTTCCAAATACTCAATTTTTTTTCGCATTCTTCTCTTCTCCTCGTCCTCCACTACTTCGTTCTTAGACACCAGCAAACCTTCCGCCACTTCGAGTCTGCGTCTCAATTCGATTTTCTCCTCGTCATCCTTATCCGATTCCTGAGCGCATTCCTTTATCTTTAAAATTTCCTCGTTTCTGGCGATCAGCAAGTTTTCCAATTTTTCCACCCGATCGCGCAAATTCCTTTCTTCCTCCCTCTGCAAGATTTCCTGATCTTTAAAGAAGCTTGATCTCTCGGCTATCAGAGCTTCCAATCTACCTATGTGAACTCTCATGTCGCGTCTATCCTTATCCTCATCCTCGTCGAGTCTCATCTTCGAATCTTCCTCCACTAGATCGAAGCTTGCACCTTCCTTCCTGGACTCCCTCAACCTTCTGAGCTCAACGTAAAGAGCTTCCAGGTGGGCCAAGGCCATGTTGTGAGCCGTGGACAGTTGCTGATTGGCCAGTGCCAGGTGTGAAATAGTTCTTGTAAGTTCCGTCACATCCTGATTAGTGGTCGTCGAAGGACCAGGTCCTCCGGCAGCCTGCCAACCTGTCATCTGAGCCGCGTAAGTTAACTTGAAGAAAAATAATGAAAAAAAAAAAAATAATTTTTTCTTTCCCCTATAAACCTTTGTTTAAAATTATTTTCCAATAAGTCACCAACCAGCAAGAACGCTTCTTCGCAATAATTAAAACGTTACTGCGAATCGCCAATGTTTTATATTCAGGCGTCGAACGCGCACTTGTAACCTCAATGAGAATTAACAAAGAATAATTAACGGAACGTTAAACTCTTACGAAGATCTCTCTGTTCTCTTTGTTCTTTTTGTTCTCTTTGTTCTCTTTGTTCCGCACTCCGCGATCTTCAACTGCGTACTGACGGCAAACGACGTAAGGCGAAGCTTTCTGAAGCGCCGCCAAACAACAGTTGGCAACACGTGATCATGATCGAAGCATTTTCTTTCGAGCGTAGATGATTCTTTGCGAACATGTGACTCAGCGGATTCTCCGTAAAGTCCCAAAAGCAATTTTGGATAATTGCCAAAATGTCATCGCACCAAAATTCACTGTACGTCTTTGAATTTTACGAAGAGACACGATGTACGTTCTCATCGCACTCAACGTACATAACTTTTCAACGTAATTTTCGAGGAAATTATATTCTGTTTTCAAAAATCAAAGAAAAAAATATAAATTTCAATGCACTAACCAAGGTTTCTTGTTGGGGCTGAAGGTTGGGTAAACTTGGCGCGGATGGTCTGTGGTGCCACCACTCTTCCCTCCTGAGAGTTGCGTAAGGACTGGGACCCTGATGGACATCGGAAGATTGACACGAGGTCAAACGGTGCCCGTAGATCTTTGTTGCAAGATCAATTGAAATTATAAAATTAATTATAAAGATACCTGCGACTGTGGTCCACCAAGATCAACGGTGCTGCTTCTGCTGGTTGATCTGTCCTGCGACTCGTCTACCGATGCTCCTGATATTCTTGTCGTTTGCTGACCGTTAGTAATAAATGGCGGCGGCAGTGGCGGCGGCTCTATACTTCTGACGTCAGTCGGTACCGTGGGCACACTGCCTCCTGCGCCCATTCTAACGTCCTCGCGATGTCTTTGCCAGCCGATTTCCCCTTATCGCGGTCCGCAACGATTCCAGAGCCAAAGGGGTGCAGTTTGCGAGTGTTGGCCCTGGCGCAGGAGTTCGAAGTCGCTAAATATTCGTGAAATCTGCGAAAAGATATCGAAGGGTCAACGTATCATTCCTTTATCGCTCAAAAGTAAACGCATTGCTCGAGTGTGTTATCGTCAGCACACGAAGACAAGGTACAGTCCGGTCGAAATCGGCTCCACGATGCGAAAGCCTAATGGACGAAAAGGAAGAATGAAAAATCGAAAATGGTTTCGGATTCCCTTTGAATTTTAAGTGATGATCCAAACATTGAAAATAGACACGTTCGTAAGGGGCCAACGGCTTTTATTTTTAGGGATCGAAAGGCTCGGCTGCACGACACGTGCTCCATTTGCCTAGTTCATCGCGCTTTTAATTTCGTCCCACGTTGCAACTTCTTATTGTCCGTAAGACGTTTGGTAATTTTCTATTTACAGATCGCGACCAATGTTTAATGTCGTATTCGAAAATTTAATAAACACATTTTTTTATAATTCATTTTGAGTGTCGGTATAAGCTTACTTGAGGTATTTGGGAAATTTTCAAAATTTTTTCCACAAAAGATACAAACGTCGTATCGCACTGCATAGGCTTCTAGAATTTCTATAAATATCATTTGAATCGATTCAAAAACAACTGGTTAAAATTAACCCCGCAAATGAAAACAAAGATTTTCTACATCCCTGTTAAAATGATCGCGTGGTCCTCGCGTGCTTTACGCATCATTCGGGAAGTCTAATGTTTGCCCACAATGCACGAGAAGTCATTAACGTAAACATATCTCGGTACTACGGTACAAATGAAAATAATAATTTTTCAAAATTCTTTAGTTCTATCGAGCAAGTAATCAAAATTAAAATCTCATTTTCATTCTTTCGTTAAAAAATATTATGCATGATTTTTTCAAATGAAAATCCGTGGTGCCACCTTTGACCCTACCCCACCCCCACCCCTCCTTTTTTCACTTTCCTACAATAAAAACGGCCTATAGCAACACTTGAAACTATCACAATTATCACACAATCTTCGTACCGATCTCAACGTCTTCACTGACTCGACACCGATGATCGATTCTATTTAAAAGTGCGCCGATCTATTGATTTAATCATTAAAATCGAATTGAAACTCACGCTCTTGTCGAAGTGCTGAGATCCACTCGTGTTCTGCAGCTAGAAACTCTACGGAGACACTTGCTGGCTGGAGGCCAACTTTCTGTTATAAGCCACCACTAAAAATATCACTATGCTACCCAGAAGTCGAGGGGTTGAACCTCGTTAAAGGAGCAAAACACTTTTAATTCTTTAGTCTAGTCTTACGTGTCAACTCAAAGAATTTTTTCGTAATACTCTAAGGGTACGCTACTTTTTTTTTATAATTATTTTATAGGCTCCCGATAACTTTTCGAAATCTCATTGAAAACAAGAAACGAGGAGTTCGTTTCTATCCATCGCTATTTTAAGCTCGCTTCACAATTCCAACGTCGTCTCGTGACTCCCCTGCGAAATTAAGCCTAAGATTTGTTGCTAGAGGAAGTGAGAATTGGTTTCTCTTAAAAACTTCGTAAATTATCGTCACAACGAACATAATATTTTCAACTGGCATTAGTAGCTAAAAGTAATTTAGACTCTTTGACATCATGAAAAAATGTCTATTACCTGAGAGTTCATCGACCTCCACCTTTATATCTAACAGAACTATTGGAGTCGCCGATGATCAGGGATTTTAGCCAAAATCAATTGGCAAATATCCCATCGTCAAATTGCCCTGCTTGGGTCTGTAATTATATTTTCAGATCGATGAATTCTTGCGTCTCGTGTACCTGCCGAGTGTCAATTCCTCTTTGACCTCTTGTCTCGAAAACGGCGCTCGGAACACAAAGGTAAAATAGCAGAGAGTAAAGTCGAAGAATCGGGCGCAATGAACGCACCTAAAGTAACGTAACGCGCACGCGGACGTAGAGCCTAAGCATAGCGCCGCTTGAAATGTATTTTTAGTCCGTTTCTTCAAGAGTTTCGAGGAAAGCACTGCGTTCCAATCGACTTTGAGTCTCAGTTTAGATTTCGAATTACATTGTCGAAGAATTCATTAAGTTTTTTTTTTATTGTAAATTACTGCCTTAGCTTTGGCTATCGTTAATTTTTCATATTATAATTAAAAATGATTCGCCTCTTAGATATCTTATATCAAATGGAATTTCCAAGAATACCTTTGCAGACGAGATGAGAAAGAAAATTTCTTTTCACGAATTATTATTACTCGCAATCTTGTGTATTCGTGGAATTGTTTTGTTGCGTAGGAGTTGCATGAAATTTTCAAAATTGGCTTACATTCAGACATACGCTCGATTTGTCTGCTTAATAACGTATTCCGTAGTTAGTGAGAAATTCCACGTGTCATAGTACACGTGTACTCTTTGACAAATATTTTGGAACGGCAGGATGTTATTGCGAAATTGTTTATTGGTCTTTGCGAAAAAGCAGAAACGTTGCGATGATAATGCAGCACCCTTAGATTAAGCTGATTCTTTTCGCTATCAGTAAATCGATTTATCGTGTTATCTTAAATTCTCAGTATCTGAAAATGAATGAAGTTTTTTAAAAAAAATATAAAATCCGTTATTTCATTATTCACAAACTGATTACCTTATAATAGCAAATTTCATATTACCATCCCGAAGCACGATAGCTGATGGTTTTACCAAAGTATCAACGCTGGGCAAAATTTCTAACGAGTCTTCGTTCTCTCTTTGATTTTCAGTCAGACTTTGAACAGCACGAATTAAAAATTGCTCTTCTCTCATTACGTCCCTTTGATCGTGCTCAATGCAAACAGCGGATGCTGGAAAAAAACTATATTTTTTTTTAAGTTCACAAATCTTCACCCCATCACTCGTACGTCTGATATCTTCCTGATGACAATTTTCGGGATTATCAGACAAATTTGACCTTGATTCCTTTGATTCCCTCTCTTTCGGATTCTCGTCATTTTTTTCAAAGGAAATTTTATCTTTGATTGGCTGAATATCGTCTCTTTCATTATTTTTGTCTTCTGATATTCCTTCAGGAAATTCAAGTCCCTTGTCCATCTCCGTATACTTGTCACAGGTCATTCTACAAATATCACGAGCATTAAATCAAGAAAAAAACGAAATCAAATGTGAAATATACTTTGCAGTCTGCGTCCTGATGTCGGCAGTGGTCTGGGATTTTTCATCAACACATTCCCCATGTTGAACAAACTTTTCAATTCCAGAATTTAAAATCTGCGAAGACTGTTCCTCGATATGCAAAGAATCAATAATTAAATCCTTGCGATTCTCATCTGTAATAGTATTCCCGTTACTTTGCTCCTGTCCTTCAAGGACTCCCGACTCATTTCTTAAGTTAATGTCCGCTTCCGGATTTTCACTGAGATTCCGAGTATTCACTCGCTTCAGTATAATCTGATGAAACATAAAATTCAGTGAAGCTGCATAGTATTACAAATGAATTTTTGTTATAATTTTTCAAAATCCAAAAAAACCAACCTCCTTTCCCTGAGCATCCATAATCTTCACGATTCCCTTGAGTGCCAAAGATTTCAACATTTCCGTGACGAAGGACTCGTATGCTCTCAATCGATTGGTAAGATTGGCACGTGCCATTCGCGCATGTTTTACAGAACCTTCAGCCAATTCCAAATCTCTTTCTAATCTGGCGACACGAGCAACCAGTGAGTTGTGAGACACCAAAGACCGAGCCTACAAATTAATAGAGACGATTCCAAAAAATCAAGCATAATTATAGGTCAATAATAATTGGCAAAGAGCAAACGTACCCGACCCAGGGCCAATTTCGAATGATCCATTGGTTTCTCACAATTTTGGCAAATCCTACGAGGACCAATACGACTGTCCATTCCCATCTTGATCCCATTGGTCCTTGATCGAAGACAAGACACGGCTCCAGCGCTGTGCGATGACAAAGTCCCGTTCAAATTCACTGACGATTCCTGCTGGTACGACTTGTTCATGGAATCATCGGACATTACCTGAGCAGGAGGATATCCGGCGAGTCTCATATGTTTCTAAATAAATTAGTGGAAATTAAAAATAACCAGGAGCGTCGTTATTTTGATAAGAGCCAAGTAGCCATACCTCCCATTTTTTATTAGAGTAATTATTTCCAAATTGATGACTATCCGGTGACAGTGTGAATCTGAAATAAGAACTTGTTCCCAGGATTTGAATTTGTTTGCTCACGTAAACGAACTGATAATCCACGTTCGGGGATGCCTGTAATATTTATTTATAATAATAATAATCCTTATATGTTTTCAAATATATTAACCTCTTGATGAAACGTGTGAAGAAATAAAATACTGCGATTTGGCAACGAAGCTTCTCTCGGTGCCACCAAAGCATATTCGAAGGTTAGATACTGCTGAAGGTTCGTCCAGCCTCTTGGAAAAATTCCAATCCAATCCTTAGTCGAAGTTTGAGCCTAAAAGAAGCCATTCGGGGTTTACGTATTGATTTATCCAAATTTTGTCGTTCTAACAAAATTACATTCTCATGCAGAACATAGTTCAGTACGATGTCCTCGTTGATAGTGTATTTCTTGAGGACGTTCATAAAGGTTAAATCGTTCTTGTGACGATGATAACATCCTGTCACTGACGTGCAACAATGCATCCTCGTCTCTCGCCAATTGTCAAGGAAATTTAAAATGTGATTTTACTTTATGCTTTTATAAACGTACCCGACGTACCCTCAATTGCGATTCGTGCAGACACGGCCATTCCGCCATTTCGAAAAACAGACGAGCAGTAAGTCACCCAAGTTCATTATTATTCTCAGATGCATTCAGACGGCACTAGGAATAGTGTGACGACGATTTTTATTCTTAATTGTACTTGTTTACTAGAGCGACACGGAAAGTCCAGGGAAAGTCCGAGCAGAAATTCCATCAAAGGTGCCCAATGCACTACCATGGCCTTATCTGGCATTAATGTATGTCCTTATCAAGAGAGCTAAGTATTAAAAAATCATTCTTTTTCAATTAATTTTTTTTCAATTTCAATTCTATAACACGCTAAACCAAGTGCCATTTGGGAACATTCTGGTAATGCCTTTTCACGACTCGTCCAATGCTGCACAATCGAATACTCGAAGCTTACAGTCTCTTGTTGCATTTGACAGCATACCGCTGGCGCAACAGACCAAGCACAGTTGATCCGGGTTAACGAAGTAGTAGCTAGTTCAACTTACAGATGGCAGTATTCTCGATGATACGTCAGTATTACAAATTACCAATCGAAAACGCTATTAGACTTACGCGGCATCCAATACAGGGAAATGTCTATTTAACTTCAGTCAAAAACAAAGGTGTACAGAACGTTAACGTTAGTAGGTAAAAGCGAAATTTTATCCCATCGAAAATACCTGCAGGTAAATGCTTTCAAAATAGTAGGAGTAAAGTAGTGGGAATAAAAATAATAGAATAAAAAAGGCGAAAAGGTGTTTCCAATTAAAACAGAACTATCATTAATCGGGAGAAAATATTTTGTATATTTCGTTAGATCGGACAGGCAATCTTGAGTGTCTTCGGCGAAACTGTCGAAAGCGTGGGTAAACCGGTTGTTCGCGAAACGCAAAAGGGAATTTAAAAAAATCCATTTTTATTGTCGATAAAACTCGTCACTAAGTCCTGAAGAAAGGAATTCCGATCCGCCTTTATTCCACAAAACGGACGAGATAAGGTTCTTGACCGTACTCAAATAATTACAGAGAATTCGAGCGTAAAAGTACCAACTCACAATACAAGACCGCATGGTACACGGTGCATGAAGATTCGAACGAAATTATTTATAAAATTCTCCATCTCGTGAATCATTTTCTATTACCCCTTGCAACTGCCGTCATATCAAAAGATTCTTATGTAACGAAATCGAACGACATACAATTCGATTAATTATGTTGATCATAAAAACACGAAGAAAGTATAAAGGAAGGAATTCTTTATTAGTGTTCGATAAAGAGCGGTAGAAGTAACAGAGGCTAGTAGAACTCAAGACGACTGATATTGGCGCATGTTCCTCGCTGGCGACTGGTGGCGACCGCAAGAACTATCGACACAGGCAGTGACGGCACACCGAACGAGGGACCAGTCCAGTGTAGACCAGTCAGTTTCTTGTCATGAGCGTAACGGAGTGTGATATCGTGTGAGGAGCGTTGAGAGAGAGAGAGAGAGAGAGAGAGAGTGTGTGTGAGAGAGAGGGGGAGGGAGCGTGTGTGAGAGTGAAAGAGAGGGAGAAAGGAAGAGAGATAGAGAGAGAGGCCGTGTTTCCATTTGACGTTAGACACATTGTCCGTCAAAGAAGTGTGTGGTGCGCCATTGGTGAAGAATCCTCGCCGTCATCACGACGGAAGACAGAGAATAAACGAGGCTGCATCGTCCTGATCCGTGACGAAGTTAAAATCGAGGTGAGAGCAGCAAATCCAAAAGCGTCTAGTGCAGTACTTGTTCAACTTTGTATCTTGCTAGAATGTCATTGGTGCTATGGATAAAGAAGATAGAAGAACGTAGTCGAGAATTGCACCGATTTCGAAGGACATTAAACGATTTAACCATAGTGACGTCTCTATTGAGGGTCAGACAAGATCAGGAGGTCCTCGTGCGCGACCTTGATCGTTGAGCCGTGTTGCCTCGTTGCTCCGTTGCTCCGTTGCCTCCTCTCTCTTCGCGCGTCGATAACTTGCCTCCGGATTTCTCCATCGCAGCTCTTTTCTTAGCTTCTTAGACATTTTTCTTTTCTCCTGACTCGATCTTCTATCTTCCTCAAAGATCTCTATTGTTTGCTCGATCGAGCCATGCTTATCTACCTTGTCTCTCTTCGTTGCACTTTGTTCTACTAATTACGAAATACGTATAAAGGCATACGAGTCTATTGGATGAAATGTCTATACGCGACTTGTTTCCTTTGTCTATCGACGTCTAGACTTTTGTCGTTGCATCTTGGTGGCCTGAGGTCATCGTATCCCAGTTCTATTTATCACGGATTCTCTAGCGTTTCTATAGATACAGAAAAATGTCTCTACTCGCGCAGTCGTACGGCTTTAAATGGGACAGTCGCTCTCCACTCGGTTAAAGAGAACAACACTCTCAATTTATAGCTACGAACTCACAGGAGGAAAACGCTGCGAATTATTTCTGTTTATACAACTCGTCTAAATGACACCAAATGGTAATTTGCATAAGCCGTTGCGAAGGTGCATTCGCATTTGTAAACTCCGATTTAGATAACGGAATAGCCACGGCAAGTAGACTGTTTGAATATCCTGATAAAGACTTTTAGATTTAGCATCGGCTGACTAATATTATTTTTCTTTTTAAGCGAGCTGCAAAACTCAGACAGATAGTCCCGCCATTTATCCTTTGTCGGCACTTTTATAGATAAAACCGCGAAATCGGTATCCCTAAGCCGAACACTTGGCTTGTTGAGTTGTCACAATACTCCCGGAATCAAGAGAGTACTGAAGAGAGATCTAAGAGGCTTAAAATTGTCTCGATTGTACGGCCCAGCTTTTTTTTCGTGTTTGCCTATCAAATACAGATTTTTTTTTTCTTATTTGCCAAAGACTACACACAAAAGTCTGCTGATAATCAGCCGCCGTAAAATATTGAAACTTTCTTGAATTAACAGCAACATTCGTATCCATACCTTTTTGCGGTTTTATTCTCTGGACTTTTTCCCTGCTTCTACTTGACCGATTTTCTCCTTGCTCGATATGATGCTCCCGTTGGAAAGGTTCTGATATCGATTTCACCTACTCTGTTTGGACTTTGATAATCCCTCTCCTCTCGCTTCCTAGACTCTCCTAATAAAGCCAATATAGTAGCTACGTGACGATTCGCCCAGAGTCGAGGCGACCCTTTGCGTTATCGTGCACGCGAATGTACATTTCACCTGGGAGAAGAAACAAGAATAGCAAAAGAAAAGGCGTCTCGTTCAGGCCTGGCCAGGCGCAATTTTCTCTTAACGAAGTAGTTAATCTAAGAAGCAAAGGACCCTATACACGTACCGGCTGTCATTTAAGCGCACGAGAATGTTTCGATAGCGTCGATCTTCGTCCACGTGTCCCAGTCCCTTGATACTTAACCTCCTTTACACGCATATCCCATGATCTGCCAAAATACGTATAGCGATTGATTTCGTTCGATTTCTTCGCATGATTTACAAATCCGTATATCTTCGGATTTACCGCCTCGTCTTTTCCATCGTCTTACGGCGGATACTACGTACATACGTGCTTCACCTACACGCGCCGCGATGACGCGCAGTCAACAAATGTACGACGTCATTTTCCTCGAAGACTCCGACTCGAGCGTTGCTTCCAAAACAAGGAGTAGCCGATTGACCGTGTTGAATGCCGAAGCATTGACTGTCGCTCGGCTCAAGGATTATCCTGAAACCGGAAGCGATTTCGAGGCTACTCGATCGCAAAAAATCTTTAAAACTTTACACCAGACCAAGTGGCCACATTTACTGCTCCGAAAATTTGTCCTCGGGTTATAACGTTACTTGGGGCTTTATCGAGTGATCTGTCCAAACATTTAGTCCACATGTGCTTTAGTTTGCTGAAGCCTTAATTATGTCATATATCTCTTATGATTATTGCTTTTGCCGGTTTCTCCTATTGGCTCGTGTCGTATTCCTACAGATTATATATTTTCCTGCGCCGCTTTCTGTCTCTGGCTTGCCTGAACGGAACAGTCCCTTGTTTATCATTAGCTTCTTCCTACCTTCCAGGTATGCGTGGAAGGTGGACCGATCGCCGTTGACCCCAAAGGCAGCCCGAGGAAGATTTAATATTAGCCTCGGTGATCCTTCGGGGAAATGTCAGTGTTGGAGGCTGACGGGAGTAACACGCAAGACAGAAACGTCGGAAAAGCGGAAAGCGGTGTCGAGTTGACTGGAGCAGCATACATGGCTGGGCAAACGCGGCTTCTCGAATAATTTATGAGCATCGATCGGCAAAGCCCTCGATACTCGAGCGATCTTGACATTAGAACAATTCTTGGCACGATTTCACGCGTGACCCGCCAATACGAATTCCTCCCGTTACGTTTGTCACGTGCAATAAAAACAGCCTGTCAGCTCAAATACACATATGTATTTGTACATTGTACATCTCTGGTTAATCTAATCGAGCGTTAAATAAAGTACATCGGGCCACCCGAGTAAACCCAAGTGTCTCCACCTGTAAAATTGGCTCTTTGACTTTCGTCTTACCGAACTGCACGGTGCGCTACGGTCACACGAGAAAGGCTTTTCCTGCCACGTTTTCTGCTTCTTTCTCCTATTTCCTGTAGCTTAACGGTCTCGTTTGACGCTTAGTTCAGGAAACGCTCAGGCGCGGCCACGAGACTAGAATCTTTGCAATAGCAGCTTTGTGAAAAGACGTTATCAGGCTCGAACCGAAGTGCGATTAGACAGATCGTTGTCGCTAACCGGATCCCCGCGTGTCTACAAGATAAGCAACTCGCCCATACGCGACGCGCGTGTGGCGCATTGGGTACAGTGCGTTGGGAAAATATGCGCCGCAAGCGAACGCAGCTAATCGGGAGCTCGAGTCTTTCGAACGAATCGCTCCGTTTCCACGTTCCACCGAGAAGTTAAATGCATAACCTCCGTTGATGAGGGTTCGTCGGTTCGTCGGTTCGCGCTAATTGCCCTTTCGTCAACACTGCCAATTATGCACTCTCTCGGCGACCTCACGTAATCAGGTCAGTCCTGCGTTTTTCCAGCGGTATACCGTTTCATGCTATAATACGTTGTGTGACGTAACGCGTATGACGACATTTCTTCGACCCTCGTGTACGTCGCAGAGAGGGCGTCGCGACGTCTCGACGTCCCCAGACGCAGGATTCACGCGTCGCTACGTCCTCCCGCCGATCACGAGGACGTCGTCGCTCCTTTCCTCGTGGCTGACGACCTCCTACCTCTGATATCGAGCAATTACGCTGACCTCTCGACAAGGTCGCCATTCTTATCAGGTCGATGGATTTTCGAACGCTGGAAAAAATTCCTTCCGAAGACCCACTGCGTCCCTCGTAAGGAGTTACGCAAGCGTCGCGTGCGACGGCTTCGCTAAACGCATTTGTTTAGTAGGTTAGACCGATGCACCGAATGGGATTCGGTTGGGCACCTGGCTGGGAATTGACCTGGTGCATCGCGTGGGTGGTTCCACGTGCACGATCTACGTGCCTCGTCTTTAACCTGCCGGTCATTATCTTCTCTCTCTCTCTCTCTCTCTCTCTCTCTCTCTCTCTCTCTCTCTCTCTCTTGCTCCTCTTTCGTAATTCGTGCTTGGATCGTATAGCCTGTTGACAAGAGTCACTTCAAAAGTCTTAGTTAAAGTTCTGTTGTAGCTTATCGATTCGCAACTTCCTTGGACTTCATTGACTTTCGGTAGTCATTTTTCTCCAGCCTCTAGCCGAGTTGTCTTGAGGCGCTGTGCTATTTGTGTCAATTTAAAAAATTTCAAGTTCGCAACTATTTCATACAGTCAGTTGCAAAAACGGAATTTTTCTCGGATATGTGAATTCTTTGAGCAGGAATTTCTGTTTTACTGTTTTTAGAAAATTTAACTTTTTTTACAAGTCCTGCACGTGGTTCGTTAAGGCAGCAATGGCCAATTTATTATTTAAGACTCTAGGAGAGTCAGTCGATCGCAGCGCCCTCGCAAAATTAGCCAGGATAATCGTGCGTCAGTCAGTGAAAGCAGCGGTTGGCCTGGCTGGTACGGGCAACCGGGAGTCTGGCGGGGTGGGGGCGGAGGGTGGTGCACTTAAATTTAGCAAAATCTACGGGAAATTGATTAAACAATCACTGCTCCAGGTCGCCATCACGTATCTCGCTGGTATCGAAGCATAAATAGGATGTAGCAGAGGGAACTGCATTATACCAATAACTACCACGCTACAAATATATATATATATATATATACATATATAAACAACCAGAAAGTAATTTGAAGTTATCGCCAGGTTGAAAAAACTCTACAGAATCAAATCATTTTACGTAATTTATGCTCTTTATCTTCCAGCGACCCCATTCGCTGTAGCAGGCGCACCCTCGAAATTCGTCATTTCCTCTGTTGAGGTCAATCCGATGTGTAGAAAAGAAAAAGGTAGAAAAAAGAAAGTTCTCCGTCTCTCATTTTCCCTCAGCATCTATTAGCGAAACTATTTTTCAAAGGATATTCCGTCTTTAGCGAATTCGAAATTTATTCCAGTCCGACCCAACCGGACCTGACCTTCTTGATACTCACGCTGATCCATCACGTGTACCGGAAGCCGCTCCTCCAGGAAGAAGCGTCAACCGGTAAGCCCGTGGGATTGATTAGAGCCGAGCATCCTAGGGAAAAGGACTTGGTCTTCTGAATCCTGATGTTCCGATTGCGTGACGTCTCCCTCGACGTACCGACGTCCCGGCGTCGCGATGCCGCCATGGCCCCTCGTAATTTTCCCAACTCCCACTGACGTCAGAATAAAGACTAATCGAACTCAATTGGAATATTGAAGATTCTCCAACTTCTCAACTCCAACATGTATCCTATGAAAGTAAATCCAACGGCTTGGCCAACTTTTAAGAGCGCAGTCACTTTCGTCCGGCGTCCCGGTGCTGCTGTCAGGTCACGTAGAGTTCTCCACCCTCGTCAGTCTGCCTAACTTGGGACGTGATCACTGGGTGGGTTTGATCACTGACCTAAAGGCGCCACAACTGGGCAACGGAAATGACGAGGCCTCTATGTAAGGGCAAAACTCGATGCCGATTTTCCAGCAGTCACATTCTCTATTATTGCTCCTTTATCTTCATTATCTTCGTCAACCATCAGCCTCGCTGCTCCTTGCTGGATCGTAGATTCCGAATTGACGATTAGAGTCTTTTTGTCAGGCTCTCAAAGTTTTCTCTACGTTTCCACGTTCTGCACTTTATACAAAAGATTTATGAATTCTCATAATGCCCCGGTATATGTAGGAACAGCGATTAGATCGATCGTCGAATATCTCAACGATATCTAAGCAGATTCAATTTACGTAAAGGAAGATCAGGAAGCTGCTCCTATTGCCTTCGAGTTGCGTGGGAATCAATGATCTCGCGATTAGCCTTGAAATTCTCTTAGAGTGTTTCCGCCATCGAGCGTCTGTCGATATTTCTTCGAACGTCTCCTCTCCTCTTCTTCCTTTCTATTTAGCCTTTCTGCGGCACGAGAGAGAGAGAGAGAGAGAGAGAGAGAACGAAAGGCATGGAGCACGACGGAGGCGGAAAAAGGTCACGAGAAAGTTCAAGCCTCATCGATTTTAAAAGTCGAACAGAAATAGTACGAATAAGAAATTACGTGGAGAAGCGGAGGAGCGTCGGTAGCGTCGCTGTAGCGTTGGCGTCGGCGCTCAAAGAAGAAAAGCGAAGAAAAAGCGTCGTTCCTATCTAACGAATCCAGCACTTTGCCTAAAAAGGATGAATTTCACTTGGATATTCCGAGCTCTCAGGAAACATCAATTCCTTCTCATTCCTTGGAAGCGTCGCGACGCGCCATCCAGTCTCGGGTTGCGATTTCAGTAGCGTCCGACAGCTGGCCTCTTGTACGGTATCCGCATTGTCTCGTACGTTTTAACTTCCCTCATACTAAAGTACCCCTGAATTGTAGGGAAAACTAGTAGCGGCCAAAATTTTCGAATCTTACTTTTTCCCCGATTACTGCCAATCGAAGACGCACTCGAACTATTAATTTGTCGACGCCAGGAGCCGGAGCGTTTACGGAATTTGATAAATTTGTCTCGAGTCGAATCAATACTTGACCAGCTGCGACCTCGATGGAAGTACTAAAATTCCAATATCCGATCGTGTCCCTCCATTTCTTTTTTCTTGGATTTTCAGTTCACCCTTCACCTCGTGTCGTCGCGTTCTCTTGATGTATACAGTGGATATTTTTCTGTGGCAGTCCCATTGCCAATCTATAACATGCGAAGCTATGGACTAATAACAGTGTATTTTTACAGTTGCAGTATCGCATGTTGCACCGTGCACTGGATAAATAAAATCACGGAACACGTACGAGTAAACTGTACCTTAGAATATTGGGACACAACTGGCAGTGGAGGCATCGGACTCTCTGTTTGATAATTAATTCAACTGAATACTTTTAAATGTTTTTTTATTTAGTTTTTTTTTTAACAATTAGCACACTCTACGTGCGTACAGCTATAACACTTGGTCGGCTACTTTTTTCTGTAACTTTACATTTTATTTTCGAGCACAATTAGATCAGGAATAGAAATACTGTTAGGACCCTTAACACGCGGGCAGGTCAGCCACGACTGGCTGACCCAGTTCTATATTCTGATGCACCTGTTATGCATTCTCCGACGGATTCCAGAAACGTGCGCTAGGTCAGGGTCGTTTAACTGTATAAGGTTGGAGACGACTTATACTTTGACATTACTTTATTATCCGTTAATTGTGCTACAAATAATTAAAAATCAACTTGAGGTCGTCGTAGATATTTTGGTTCAAGCTGTTATTACGTGCCTTATTACCTCAGGAAATAATTTCTTATACTTATGATACTCGGAATTATCCCTAATGATGGAATTACACAATCCCGTATCAATAATTGACGTAATTACATATTCCTAGATAAGTCATTTTATAATTGTATTGACGAGACAAGACTTTAAGTACTATGTGTTATCTCTTTCTAGTCGACTCAGCCATTTTTCTTTTCACACTTTAATACGGTAGTCTGCTAAACATGGCGTCAGCACATTTTTCTCCAGCGGAGCGTTGATTTCGCGAATTTCTGGCTTGTTGAGTGGATTCTTTGAAGAAGGTGAGAATCTCAGGGTCCTTGAGAATTCTTTATATATTCCTAGAGCCTCCAGAATCTTCGACATGACTCTTGGACACCGACCCACTAATAATTTGAGGTCATTGATTCCACTTTACCTCCGGCTGGAAGGAGGTTCAACCTCTTGTAGTGGTTGGCTTCCTGAAGGGGTTGCGAGGAACGGGTGATTCGAGCTAGCCCAGACGGCGCCAAATTCCGTCTCCATGAACGCGACCAGATAACCTACATAGTGGCACAGACATGCAGCTTACACTTGAGGAAGGTTGTTGCAATTTAGCTCAACTTTGTTGTACTTTCCGATCGCTTTGATTGGTCACGCCTTTTTACTTATTATCTCACCTCGGTGCCTTTGTTCTTATAGATGTTTATCTTTGTTAACAATGGAACACAGAAAAGGTCTTCAGAATAGTAATGTTTGCATCATCTATATCTTTCGACAGATTTTCAAGCCATACGATAAATGTATAAGATAGTCGCTTGTCAACACGACAGCACGCTTGTCGTGCTGCGGTTGGTATCAGATATGCAAAGATTGAACAATCCGCTATAGCTATAAAAGGTGGTCATTCGTGACATTTCTAAAAAGTGTTAAAAAGATTGATGTACCTGGAAGAGAAACACTATCGCATACCAGAAATCTTATGATATGTATAGAGTGAACTTGAACTTGGCTTGGCAGGTTCTGAATGACGAATTTCGTGATGGCGATTTAAAAATCGCTTTCGAGCTTTATTGATTTTTTTACCCCCTACCCTTAAGAGCCTTGGCGGGGAATGGACTGTCGCGCCGCCTCTGCGGATCAACAGCTGTTCCTGCTGTGCTGCGTGACAGGACTGTGTGAGGTTAGGATTCACTGGCAAGGGTGCTGAAATCTTGACGTTTTACAATGTCAAGGAACAACTATTTTAAGTTTACTTCTATACTTTAGTGATAATTATAGATTGAGGTATGTCAACCTAAAGGGTACCGCGTCTTTGTCGCTCATTGAAGACTTTATCACAGAGTAATTTCTTTGTATGGTAAGAAAGGAGTATCATTTTCATGTATATTCTTTTTTTTATTTCTAGAGCTGAATGAGGCTCATGGAACCACTGGGTGTGGCCCCAGAGGTCGTTGAGCTGGGAGCTTTAAGACGATGGACAGATCTTCACATTCAGCATCGATTTACAGACTACTCGAATGTCCTTGGAGAACCAGCTCATCATGCGACAAGTCCTTTTCCTTGTCAACCATCCCTGAACGTCAAAATTGCACTATGGTATACTTTATATTACGACTATCAAATCAGAATCAATTAACAGTATATTAAAAATAATCTTTCTTTTTCAGGACAGGAAACATTTCTGTTCTTCAAGTGGATGCGATAGTAAATTCCACCAATGAAACAATGGATGATAATAGTCCCACGTGCCAAAGAATATTTGCACAAGCTGGTTCAGCTCTGAAGATGGAAATTTACAACGAAATTAAAGGTGTGTAGGACCGTCATTTAAAATTACATCCAAAAGTATTTTCTAATTGGTTCTATAATATTCCTCTATCATTTTATGTAGCTTGTCTCGTGCATTTAAAACTACTTAACACCGATATCTTTCTAGAAGTATGACATTTATTATCCATCAATTAATACAGAAAAGTTTACGTAATGCACTGTGCACAGCACTCACATCCATTTTGCATCCCATACCTGAAAGCATAATAGTCAGCATCAAGGAAACCAAGCCTTCCAATATTGAATAGGCATTTCGACATACGTAAATAGCATTGTACAGTCAGTCACGTATATTTTTTTACTTCGTTTCTCTTCAGTTCAAAAAAAATGGTCACCATATAGCGTAAATCATGCTCAGCCTGAAAAAGGTACAGGGAAAAATACGGGTAAAAATTAGAGAGAACAACAAGCATCTGTTCAGTCCTAAGTATTGAAATTATCCGACTCTGGTGAATTCCCAGTCGTTCACATTACACGTAAAGACACAAAGCCCAAGAGAAAATCTAACCAATACACATTCATCACGAACGTAATTCAATAGGCCTCGGGGCATACTAAACGACCTGTGACATCCTCACTGGCGTATGACGCACCTAATTCGTCAGTCTTCCTTCTGTCGTTGAACGAAGAAGCCGAAACGTAAAGAAGAGCAAGAGGAACATCTCAGTGTGTGTTAGCATTGTTTCTGGATCAATGATATTCAGTAATAAGTTATAATATTGTGGTAAATAAGAATAGGATCCTAATGACGTAATACTACCGTGACGTAGTCCACATAGTTGGACCTATACGCGTTATCCATAGAAGGAAAACCTGTTTTTCCACAATGATGTTATATTGGGTATATTTGTTTTCAGAGTGCAAAACTGGTGAAGTCAGGGTGACGCAGGGGCACGATTTACCAGCACGATACATCATCCATACTGTTGGGCCAATTTACAATACCAAGTATCAGACTGCTGCTCAAAATACGTTACACTGTTGTTACAGGTAGGTTTGACTTATCGATCGAGAAACCAAGCGAAACTCTTGTCTTTCGGGTAATTTTTTCTTGGAAAAATTATTATCAATTAAATGTTCAAGTAAAGACATATTCAATAAAGATTTCTCAGATGGTTTATATACTAAGAATATTATAATTATTATATTACGTCATTGATAGTCTATGTAGTAAATTTTATTTTGTTTTCGACAAAATTACTTGGTTGTATACATGCATATCTGACCCGACAGTAAATTAGGATTATTTTTCATTGAATAAAATGATACCTAACTTTTTCTTTCTTCCAGAAACGTATTACACAAGGCTAGGGAGCTTGGGTTACGTAGTATCGCCTTGCCAGTGATCAATTCCATTCGAAGAAATTATCCACCGGATGCAGGGGCGCACATAGCTCTGAGTATGTATAATAATAAGTCGTTGTTATGTACCTTCTGTTTGACTAAGTTTTCAATTGCTCGTTGAACAGGAACGGTGAGAAGATTTTTGGAACAATATAGTGACTCAATATCTTGCGTCGTCTTCGTCCTTGAGTCCTGTGATCTGGGAATCTACGAGGTTCTTTTGCCGCTATACTTTCCCAGGACTTTGGCGGAACAGGACAACGCCTGTTGGCAGCTGCCAAGTGATATTGGAGGAATGGACGGCGAACCATTACTTCCGGATAGACAAATCAGAATCATTGACAATCCTCAACACGCCTTACATGGTAATCAAAATATTCACATGCAATCGGAAAAGATGTTATGATCTCAAAAAAAAAATATTAGTCAGCCTTCTTAATTAAAGCAAGTAGCTGAATTACTCGTGAATCACTGTTTATCGCCAGTAATCTCTTATACCGATGAACTGATAACATATCAATTTTATATAACAAATACCGAACACTGACATTAGTCAGTCTTCTTATAACCGTGAATATTCGTGTTACACGAATTCTCACACGAAAGTGATATATTGTACAATTTTCGAAATGTCCTGTAATACTGCGGCAAGTTCTAGTGCTGTTCTTCCAAGCAAACGTCCTCATCTGACAATCAAAATGTCGAAAAATACTATTTCAAAAGGTATCAGAGATAAAGATTCCTTTTCACTGGCGTAACAAATTCAAAGAATCATTATTAGCGCAGTTAGCATAACTCATATAACAAAGAGCAAAAATATACGTAATTTTGTTTTCAGGCGATGAAACTGTCGAGCTTTCCTCGCAACTGGAGACTTCAGTGAGTCTTGGTGAACATGCGTTTACGCAAATGCAAGGGGATTTGGATCGGCAACGTCTTCTTGGCGAAAGACCACTGACCGATCCTTTGGCGGACATAATGTTAAAACAGATGCAGCAAAAGGAGAGGTGAGTCTCGTTACCGAGAACCAATTTCTAAGGTCGGGAACTAATGCGTAAATACCATGCACTACTAAAAGTGATCCAGCGATTCATTGGTCATTATTTACAAATAGCTGCATAACTGTGCCGCAAATTCCTGAGTCGCTCAATCACATGGACTATTTTGGGCGCGCTTTCGTGTACTCGATGCTATTTTCATCGCAGTCAGCCCCTACGTATTCGAACGTATCGAGCAGCTGACTCGCTTGACAAGATCCGTTCATAGAAATGCCCAAATTTCAGACATGAATAACGGCTTTATTTTTGGGAACGACCTTTCAGAACGCCACTCTTGATAGGTTGACTGATGATCTTGAAAGAGTGGGAGCATATGGAATGCGGAAACCATTTAAAAACTTCCAAAGCATACGGCTTCGCTGCTCGTGGAAAAAAATGCCATTAAAAATATTTTGTAAACGAAAAAAAAATGAAAGAAAATTTGTGCACGATCTTCTTCCTGATCTTCCGTCGGTATATACGAGGCCGTTACAATGGAACATTATTCTAAAAGATAAACGCATCAGAATCGACGCTATCGGACCCATCCGCATTGAGAGCACATCAATAAACATTCCATTTATAACGGAACACGATCTGTCAAAATCGTAGGACACGTGCCTAAGTAATAAGCAGCAATTGGATGAAATTACAGAGACCTAGTGTCCAGGCAGAATTCTTCGACCTCGATAGGATGTCAAACTGTCTAGCAGACAGGCACGGCGGGTCATCAACTGTCAGGCGCCAGTGGGGCCTGTTGCCTTTATTCGCCAGCCCATGGCGCCACGAACAACAAGAGAACCTTGTTAATTTTTTTTTCTACGCTTCTCGATCCGTTAATTATAGAAATGTTGTCGATGGTTTCTCAATGCTTGTGGAAGTCTATGCGGTTTGGCCCCAATATACGATTGGCAATCGATAGCTAGGACGAGGTCATGATAAAAATTCTCTCTGACTTCGGATATACCCTGTAAAAATAGACCGATCGCGTCTTTAAATAGAAAACCGATATCTATAACGTGACTATGCGTACTTTTGGAAACATAATCGTTGTGACGTAGGGGGCGTGGGTAAAGGCGCCGTTAATAATTAATTTACTTCGTTAATCGTCTGTGGCACGAAACGACAGAGAAAGCTTTCTCAAGCCTGCTCAAATATCAAATAAAAAGAGCCAACGAGCTTCAGAAGTATTTTGCATTATTTTGAGAACAACTTCTGGTACAATAATATTATTGCGAATTGCGAATTTTTCTTTTGACAAACAAAGAAGCTCAAGACTGCGGAATTACGTTCTACGCTATTAGACACACGTCACGTTTTATGTACAGTCCCATACGTCGCTTTATATTATTATTGCGCAATCTATAGATCTATCTTTATAATATCGTTCGCCCATAGACTAATGGAACGCACTGCGAATAAGAATCTAGATCACGTAGTCGTCGCCCGGATTGCGTAATGGCCTTAAATGTTTACACGTCTTTGAATATATATATATCAGTATACGCAGTAAGAAATATTGATCTTGCGAAGATTGTGGAGCAGCCGGCGATTTTGAGAATTACGTGCATTACCAAGATCATTGCTGGATCATCTGGAATTATATGATCGATCAATTCCAAACACGGGTCTTCGTCCATGAATCCTTTGACGAAATCTTGGAACGGAGTTTCCTTCATGCTGGGAATCTTGCCAAGTAAGAAAAAGTCTAAGGAAGCCTATTTATTTTTTATTTTGAACTGTTACAGAATGTTGTCAACTCTTATACTCTCATCTGTCGGTCCTCTCGTCTTAGAGCAAACGACGCTTGCGTCATTGAAATAAATCACGCGGCATATTGCGATAGCTATGCCGTCTGATACGGCGTACTAATCTTCTTGACGCACATTCAAAGATTAGGTTTGCTTCCAGGCATTTCATCCAAAGAGCCTCGGGATCTTGTGACAATTTTCTGTCACGAATATTTTTTTTCCTACATTTTCTTTCATTCTTTTCTATTTCTCTTGTTGGCAGCACGCGTATCCTCGCGGCCGTCTTCTATTGGGACTGAAGTAAACAACCCAGATTGCTCCATAATAAAATCCTGACAATGACATTCAAAGATGGCGGAGACACGTCCAATCTGCAGTTGCGTCTTGCTTGACGCTCGTGAAGCCACTAAATGATTCAGCCTCGAATCGAATCACGCGGTCCCCGTTTCCATGTGAACGAATCTTCTTCTTTTCTTATTACGGCAAGTTCAGTATTTTATCTTGCGTCCGCAATGTCTTCTACCAAAGATTCTCCAAAGGCCGAGTGTAATGAGGTTTACTTGCGAAATGAGGGAATTTCAAAAGGTGCTCTAGTTTGCATTTTGTTAACATTTTTACTCTACGCTTCGTAGTATACTCCTTGCCGAATGGCAATTTAAAGATTTTATTTCACCAGAGGCCATCAAACTGGATCGCGAATCTCACAAAGAGGACAAGGTGGACGACGCTGTGACGAAATCTCTCTCTCTCTCTCCCACAAATGTAATCGGCCTGTATTATAATACGCAAAGACTTTCTACTACTTCCCGTAAGAGTACTCTTTCTTACATGTATTTGGTTACGTCCTCGTAGCTGCTTGGATTCTCCCGTAACGTGGAAGTCGCGACTATTTCATAAATTTTTCTCAAGTTAGTCACCTTGTCAGATAGAGTTTCGAGATATTTATTAGCCAAGGACCTAGAGCTTTCGGAGAGGCAGAAGAATATAAGTGTAGAAAAATGACGAAACTCTGGTTCGCTATTTGAACTGTCTCAAAGTCCCTACACTCGCAATGAATAATAGGGAACGAGACGTCAGTCGAACGAGGCCTATGATAGGATTCACCGAATCGTCCTACTAGGTGATAGAAAGCACTATATAAAAAGTCGAGGGAACCGCGAAACAAGACAGTGACGAAAGGAGCCTTGAATCTTCAAGTAATCGCACGTCGTAAATTATCCATAAGATATTTACGTGCGGATGCGGAATTTCGGTGGGACCTCCTGGAAGTGAAGAGCCCGCGCACGAGGATCCCTAATTCAGTGTTAGGAATTCGCTTGATTTTACTCCTCTCGACGTAACGACCAAACTAACCTCCAAAGTTTGTTTATCTTCGAGTCCAGTGATACCAGCGAGCCCACGTATCGTTAATTCGGCTCTTCCTCCGGTCCGCCTCTCAGTTTCATTCTGGCTTTTTGACTTCCAAGTAAAAGCCGCGAGTTCTCGTTCCCCGTTGTCTTTATTTATTTTTTTCTTTTTACTGATCTTCATCGCACTCTGTTTACGGAATGGTGGCGCATAAATTGGCGAACTCTGTCGTGGCCATAATTAAACTTAGGATACCTCGCGCTCTCTCCTTCTCTGGCGCGCCTGTGACTTACACGTAAAAGAGAGACAGAGTCGAAAACAGATTAAAAGAGGAAGAAGCGCGCGTCTTGCGTTTTTTTCCAAATTTTTATTTCTCACGTGGTACCAATGCTTTCGGTTCGAATTTACTGAAACTATGAAAATACGAAACGTATGACGGGTCAACTGTTTACTTCGAAGCTTCTCAAACACTCGAGGCGTCTCCGATAAAAGCTTCGCGTTTCACCGAGTGGGTTGTGGAAGGCGGAATGGTTGAGTATATTAAAAATCAAACATGATTAACGAAGACTGATTCGTCTTGTGATTGAAAATAATTTTTTGGATCCGGTATGAATTCCTGTAGACGTAGCCCGGAGTAATCAGAATTCTTAGGGAGGAAGCGTGAGGAGGTGGGAGGGGAGGGGAGGGGAGGGGAGGGGGGTGGAGGAGATGTAAAAAGGGGGAGGGAGTGCCTGGCCGATGCTTATTTTCACAATACTCTAAATTTACATAGCAAGCCTTTAAGTTCGCCGGCTGAATTTATGTGAAAAGTAAGTTTATAATTAGAGGCGGATTTTCAATGACCTCAACTCGCACTGAATCGAAATGGCGCGAAATTCAAATTTACTACCGACACAGCTCACGGCATACGGCCGAGAAGTTCATGTCAATCGTCAAATACACTCCGCGTAACAATTCGCTGATTACCAAGCTTACGCAGCATCCGCGCTAAGAGCTTTCGACGGCATCTTCGAAAAATCTTCCAAGAAATCCTCGAGATCTTGGAGCGCCAAATATGTTTGCCACGTAAACAGCGAGGCCGTTAACTGTGTCCCAGATTCGTCAAGAGGTACCAATCTCTTTCTCTCTTTCTCTCTTTCTCTCTTTCTCTCTTTCTCTCTTTCTCTCTTCTTCTGGCTTCCCCTCTTCATTCATGCTTCTCTTAACGGTCGTCGAGTGGCTGCCAAAAATTCAATGATCTACATGCCCGAGGCAACGGCTGCCTGCGCGAATGTGTCATTTTACGGAAATTCACTCGACTTCCGGGATTCTACGAAAGAGAAGGAATGGCAAGGATAACGAAATTACGAAAATTGGCAGTCGAGTCACGTAACACTTGAAATATTTGCAAAAGATGTCCCCCGTTATCTTTCGAAAGCAGCTGCAATTTTTCACGTTCGACGTCTTCGCCGAACCGAAGATAGAGGTTGGGCGGAAGAGGAGATCGCAAGAGTAAAACCAGATCCAAAAAGAATGACGATAACAAACATCCTTCCTGAAATGGCCAGACAGAAATAAGTCGATCGAAATAAGGCACCGCGCAAACATCCTGCGTTGGTATCCGCGAATTCACTAGAATTTAAAAAAAAACCTGGCAAGTCTTTTCGAGCTTTGACCGACCCTTCGATGGGTTACCTTTTGGAAATTTATCAGCTTTTTTGGCACGTAACGTAAAAGGTACATTGAACCCTGTCAAAGCACTTGCTTACGGACACCTCGAGTCAATACCCAACCACGCTTATACCCAATTGATATGGTTGGTTGCGAAAAGACCCAAGGGGAATCATTCGAAGCCATCGCGATGCCAGAACGGAAACTCTCGTTTGTTTTCCCTGCAAGTTTCTCTTCGGCTATGAGAACAAGCTCAGGACTCGGTGCTCGTTTGACGGATCCAGCCGTTTAAAACTTCGGATAATATTATCACCAATCTGTTTTCCCTTCTGGCGGATCTTGTTTTTGTCAAAACAAATTATTGATCCATCCCCCCTTGATCCACCGTGCCAGCTGGCCGAATCAACTGGTTCATCGTTAGCTCATGATTTTTCTTTTTTGCTATTCCGAAAGCTGCCGAATAATAGCAACGGGTTCTTACTTTCTTTCGAAAACGTTATTGATACTTCTGTGAATTGGTCTTCCGAGACACCCACACCCACGCCCATCTGACTTCATTGTTTCTACTCTTTCCACGTATTGTCCAGCTACGGCAGTGTTCATTGTGATAAGAGATTCTGTGACGTCACCACTGGTGAGGTTTGCACGAAACGGGATCTTACGTCACGGGATGACAATAGAAATGGAAAAAGAGTTATTGATTGCCGTCGAGCTTGCGAGCACATTTAATAGGAAAGCGCGGATGGGTAGGGTGAACTTTGTTGAATTTTCTATAGGTGGAGAACGAGGAGCGTGACGTCACGATGAAATTAGAATTTATATGTAAACATACAACGTTCGTAGGTACGACCCCATTCTTCCTCGGCGCGCGAAAGGGGGTTGGATGGGAAATCGAAAGTTTGGAGTCACTTATCCGAGGCCTGGATCGATGAATTACATTTCCAGGGCGTATCGGAGTTTCACGTTACTTGCGAGCGTATTTGAGAATATCGAGAGACGGACATTTTAAATTTGAACGTAAACTCAATCGGACATTTGGGTCTTGCGGTTAGCCATTATCGGTCCACGGTTGCCAATATTATCAATTGATAATATCGTCGCGTCCACCTTGGCTATGGATTCTCATAATTTCTTATCAGCAGGATCTGGGCCCTTGCTTCAATCCGAATGACGCACGTGTCCCGTGCACGTGCAGGTAATTATTTGTTATTGTTCGTTATTGCGCCTTTCGACGTTGAAACATTATCGGAAGTCACGTGGCTTCTTTACCGAAATACAAGATTCGCCGCGACAGGGGTGGGATTTTGTGTCTTTAGGATTTGACGTATCGAAGCGAAGACCCGCGATGGCGCTACGGCTGCGATTGGCACGACTTCGGGAACACTATTGGTCGCTTTCTTCGCCCACGCTCGGACCGCCGTCCGTTTTCATGTGCGCGGCAGAAGTACGCCTCGCGCGAATAACGTAAACAATATTTGATGCTGGCCATGTATACGGACGGCGGTCATTCCGCAAGCTCAGTTCCCTGCGTGCGTTCGAGAGATCGACTACGATCATCGGAATTTGAAGTTTCCTTCAAGATTTTCATTGCTGCTGTTCGATCGAATTGAGTCGGACGAAGTAAAACTTCGAAAATCGCGAAAGACTTTATTCGAGGAGAAAAATATTTTTGGTTGGGCTTTTTTTTTTATCAAATCATTTAAAAGTGACAAATCGTTACGGAAAATTTGTCTTTGTGTGTGATTTCGTGAAATCGATATTTCAAGAGAGCCGAGAACACCTTTCTTAAATTCCGCGATATCTGCGGAATTTGAGGATACTTTCATATTTAATTCGTTTTTTTTTTTTTTTTAAAATGCGAATGATGAGCAAAGAACCAAAATTAGCGATTATCGCGAAACAGCTGATGTCCAAAGAAGAGAGATCGGTGCAAAGGTATTTCAGAATTTTTATATACTATTCAACTCGTCGTTACCTTATCGTCGTTTCGACGCATGACAGTTTTTTTTTATTTTTTTCGAACGAAATTTCAAATACAAATCAAAAATAACTGTAAGATCATTCGTCGGAGCAATAGGATCGAGCGAATCCCATTAGCGCGCTCAAGCGGAAGCGCAAAGTCTATCAAGTCGCGAGAGCAAAAACGCAGAACCTGTTCTTTTTTTTTTCTTTTTTTTTTTTTTGGAAACTACGCAGTAACAAGCGTGCAAAATCATACAGCGCGAACGCGATAAAGAAATGCAGGAGAATAATTTATGCAAATATTCATTCGTCTTAACATTCTCAAGCCTAGTAACAATACTGATAGCGATTATTAATATTTTATGTCAGAGGCGACGCGCAATTGAAAAAAAAGAAATGTCCAATTCGAAAAGTTTCTTGCCATCGAAACACGCAAGGAGTCCGCCAGTCTTCTTGTTGGCCAACATAAAAAATCCGTGGGTGAAATCTTGAAGCAAATACGTCCCGACGTCAAGCCGAAGTGTCGCTAAGTACATATGTGATGCACGCGTACACGCACGCATAAATCCATCTTCTAGCAGCGTGACATAGGCAACTATCTCTACGTGCACACCCATTACGTCGCGACGTCCCTTGTCAGTCGAATGGAGCAAGCGCCGTGGTCTGACACAGCGCGCACTTTTACTACTACGAAGTACGAGGTAGTCTAACAAGTAGGGAAGGTTCGGCACTCGCAGGTTCAGTACGCCGTCGGCCAGCCAGCATTGCGGACGTCTTGTTGTTCCTGCGGAAATACGATCTGGCAGCTTCGTTAATTCCTTCGCTCTCGTGTCACGCGAGATCGATCGAAAGTCCCGTTGGCAGGGCGTTACATCGAGAACGTGGGAAAATTTGCGAGTCCTTCGGTTGCCAAATTGTCTTTGTGAAAAATTATAATATCTACAGACCAAAAGCATGGTGATGATCGACATGGTGGACATAATCGAGGACGAGGATCGGTGTGTATTCTTAGTGTCTGGATTGATATCGTTATTAGAGAAATATAATCAGCTAAAGACATTATGCGCAACAAGACGCGTAGGTAGTTCCTATGGAAATGCGGATCAGCTTATAGATCCTACTCGCTAATCGTGTTCTGAGCGAAGTACGAAACGTGTCAATGAGTCTCTGTATGCCGACGACGCGTACAGAAGGTATGCCTGAGTCACGTGGCGTCGTGATCGAGTCGAGATCTTGTCACTGGACCTGGCATGTCGTTCGATTCTTGGAGAAATTTCTATCGTGATTGTACCTGCGTCTCTTTTCGTTCCGACTGCAGTAGTCGCAGTTTTTGTTTACGTACAATCCAGAATGAAAATTGTCGGGGCGTTCATTCTTTATTTTTACACGCGAATCGCCACCGTTCACTCTGTCGCTTATTGATCGTTCTTTATTCGCAATTTGACAGCCTGTTAAACACGTGTCCCGCAAGTTGCGCAATTATTCAAACATTCCTTCGATACGTCAACGACTGCCTTGGCGTTTCGCCTCTCGCGTCTGACTCGATTCGTTATCGTGACAACTGTGTTATGTTAATTGTTCAGTTGTCTCGTTTTTTCGGTTCGAGAGGTGGGCTGGGGAACTTATTCTTATTTCGAAAATCGTATTAATTCTTGCTGACTAATTGGGCGACATTGATTATTTCCCTCGACACTGCGGTATCGCAGTCTGGCGAACCGTTGCGATTTCAATAAGCTTGAGTGAATTATATTGAGGTCGACAGATTAAATAATTGAACGAGGAGTACGGTAATTTTTTTTAGCATTGAGGTAAACACGCGAATGCTGGCGTTAATGGATATTTGACGTTTCAGGCTTTTTGGATATTGCGGGCAACAGGAGTGAACGAAAGATGCGTTGGCACCCTAACCTAACCTAATCTAACCCAATCGAACGGTTACGTTGTAGTCTGTGCTTTTTTACGGACAATTACTCGATGCACGTTCATTAAGTTCTTAGGCATAACGACAACGAACGAAGACACGGGAGCGTGAAAATGAATGTCTTTGAAATGTTTGCGTGTCTCTTGACTTTTGGCACACCGATAGTCGCCCTTTGTAACACGTTAATCTCCAATGAAAAAAAAAAGCCTGGCTTTCTGCTCTTAAACTCTACGAGCTGCCACGTAGAGGAAAAAGTTCCCGTTGGCAGGTTATCGCGTTACATTCGACACGTTCAATATTTTGAATTTCCTATCATTTACGTTTCAACCGTGTCGAGATGAAAACAAATTTCCGAACGAAATGAAATTCGACCACGTCGCTGCGTTAGAACGAAATTTTGGAATGTCACGATGAGGCCGAAGAGCATCGTAAACACCCGGTGCATCAGTCGCATTTGGCATTTTCCCACGACCATTGAAGCCACGCAGGGACCAAAATTATAGAAGCGAACCGCGAGGTTATTTATCATGGAGAAATTCTATTGAATTATTTTTTGCTCTTGGCACGAGAGTTCAAATGGAGACTCGGCTTAAAGTTCACTTGGCAACTAAATATCACAGGGTATAATAAATCCCTGTAACATTCGTCCTTTATGTCGGGGGTCATCAATGGCAAACCCCATTCGCATCATCCCTCACTCTTTATTACTTTTCGCGTGCACGCGATATAACGTTATCAAGCATAGTCTATTTTTTTTTTTTTTTTTTTTTTTTTTTTTTTTTTTTTTTTTTTTTTTTTTTTCATATTAAATAAAAGAAGGAATTACTAGGGAGAGAAAACAAATCCAACTATACCGAGCGTCAAATTAAATTGGTTTTCTTAATTCCTGTTCGCAGGTACGAGAGACTATTGAGAAGAGCCAAGACCGAGGATCTTTCTGAGGTTTCCGGTATTGGATGTCTCTATCAGAGTGGAGTCGATCGGCAAGGTCGACCGGTCGTCGTCTTCGTCGGCAAATGGTTTCCAGCCACTAAGATCAATCTCGACAAGGTAAAGCGATACTTCTTTCTTTTTTTTTTTTTTTATTCTGAACCGTGAGCCAGTCCACTCAGCCGAATGACGCATGATTGGTCCTATCGCTGCCACGTCTAGTAACGTCTAGTAGCGATAGTAGCTTACTAGCATTTGCCCATGGTAGCCCTTGGTAGCCCATGGACAAGGGGTTGCGAAACCGAAGGAGCCCTAAGCAGCGGCGAGGGGTTAACGGCTAATGGCTCTTGGAGCCATTGCGGCAGATCGATATTTACGTCCAGAAATAGACTGGACAAGCCTCTCTCTTATTCACCACTCACTTACTCAACTTTTCTCTCTCGCTCTCCCCTAAGACCGCTGATACCAACCTTACCACAATTTATCACTCTTACCCAGCTGCTCCTTTTTACCGATGGCCATTCCAGCAAGGCTGCCACGTGCTGCCAAAAATACGAGAAATTTTTCATTTTATTAAAAAAATTCCTTGTTACGAAAAAAAAGGAGAATAAATGGTTACTTGTAGAAACAAAGTCTGAGAGTGTTTGCAAATTAAAGGAATGTATTTCGGATTGATAAGAAATTGAAGAAAAAAAAGTGAAGAATTTTTGAGGTTGGACGCAGAATACTACAGATATACAGGATGTGTCGTTCGATCTTGAAGGGGTTGTAAAGCGAGAAACTTCGGCCCCTGATACCGTCTCCGTTAAAAGAAAGCAAATTAAAGCCAACCCGACACCCGACTCGAGTCCAAGCACGATGCAGCCCCTGGCTGTTTTTCCCCCTGGCTTTTTATAAATATAAAATCCAACCACGTACGCACGCAGCTACACGCGCACATTCCCAGAATAGCCCATAAGGCCACTAGAAAGCGTAACGTCCAAAACATCCTTGAGAGCCTGAGCAGTCTGCCGTCGAATTTTTGGACTTTTAACACAGCTGAGAGAGATTTTAAGTTTTTGGCTTGAAACGAAAATTCTCCAAGGACTTTGGCGGAATGTGAATTAATTGGGTCGCGTCAAACGAGAATAGCAGAGCTCATCGGGAAATTAGTAGTACTCGCGGCAAATAATTAACAGCCCTTGTGTTCGGTCTTATTCAGGTTTCTCGTTTAGATCTTTTGTACAGTCGTCTCGACGTTCTTGAAAAATGTTTTTTTCTCGTTTCCACGAAACTCAGCATCGCGGATCTTTCGATGCGGCAGCCTCCAGTAAGTCCCGTTAGTTTTCATTTGCAAATTCGAATCTCCGTTCACCTTTCGGATGCTGGACTGCTCTTGGCGCTAACGACTGCGCCAATTAGCACTGTCCACACGTGCCTGGCTTCTGCGATAATGTCGTCTCAGGAACGTAGCCAGTAGCCAGTAGCCCCCGATACGCGCCCCGCAGAAGTTTTGCATTCGAAAAGAGTCTCGAAAGTAGCCCAGAGAGAAACCGATTAGTCTTGTACGATATCTCGCGAAAGAACCAAGTTCAGCGAGACCGGCGGCTCTCTAGACATCCGGTATATCTATATAGCAAGTGGGTGCGTCCCTCGTGTAAAGATACATTAAAGATCCTTTATCCGCTTTCATGGAATATTCACATAGCCGCGGAAATTGCACAAAACGAAATAGACGTCACGGCATTCCTGCCTTCCCCAGGGACGTAAACGTCATCGCCCGAGTCGCGGATGAGGTTGCGGCCCAAGGGTAAGGGATGCTTTCTGGTGGTAAAAATAAGGGATGGATCGAGGCTGGATAATTGGTCGGACAGAGCCCTTCGATCGAGCAAGGAGGGGCCTGGCCGAAGGGGGTGAATCGCGTGTCGGCCGGGAATTGATTCGGGGGTGTTGGATCGAATGCGAAGTAAAATCCGACGACCCCAATTGCAAATTGAAGAAATCTAGGTTAGGGGTTCCTCAGGAGCGGACCTATCGGCGGGGCTCCAGCCGAGGGGCACTTGCCTCGAGGCTTCTGCCAATCCCCTTTATCCCTCCCCTCAAACTCCTCAGTTGCCGAGAGCATCGATTCACCCCACGGCGACACAAAGCGTCCCTTCCCCCCCCCACCCCCCACGTCGCGCCCTCTAGTCACGTTTTCTCACCCTTTCAACTTTCCGTCATTTAGCCTATTCATCGGCATCCTCCGAACTTGGTTTATCCTTTTCTCTGCTTTTTCACGTCCTTCCTCCCTGCAAAAGCTCTGCAAGCTCAGTACGTGGCCACGCCGGTTCGTAACTATCGACCCGAGCTTCACCTCGCACCCCGCCTTGTCTCCATGTCAGAGTTGAAACCTCTCCTTAACAACGTGTGAGCTCCACTAGAGTCCGTCGTCGCCGTCGTTCGATTGTACGTTTATCTTAACGGCAAAAACGTCTCCTCTTCTTCTCGCAGGCCTTATTGTACCTGATCCAGTTGCTCGACCCAATTGTCAAGGGTGACTACGTCATCGCCTATTTCCACACACTAACCGTCAGCAACAACTATCCCAGCCTCCACTGGCTCAGGGAAGTTTACAACGTGCTTCCCTATAAGTGAGTATTCGTTTTATTCTTCGCCGACTAGGAAACACGCCTTAATCCTTCATATTGCTTTCAAGATGAGAAACGAGATCGTTGGACACCTTGCGACAGGAGGCGTTTCTAATTGGTTGGCAATTCTTTGTTTTAGGTATAAGAAGAACCTCAAGCACTTTTACATAATCCATCCCACATTCTGGACGAAGGTGCGTACTTTATCCAAGCACAGTCTTCGTGAACGACCGCTTTGCCATTTCGAGGGGTCGTCCTTGAAATTCGTCGTCGATCGGCTCAATCGCTTCGAACTTACAAAGAACAAGAAATTTCTGGCAGCAAACGGACTTTTTTTAAACCGAACACGGAGGATCATAGCGAATCATTGAAAATGATCCGTAACTACTTGAATTTGAATAGCGCACGGTTGGCCGAGTTTGAAGAACGATGGTATTGCGCAACGATTCCCACGTGAAATTAAATTCCCACCTACTAATTACTAATTAGTTAATGAACAATCGCGAGGACCGATGTTTTCACGCTGTAGCGCTTTACCATTTATCACGTCGTCGTCAGCGTCAGCGTCAGCGTCAGCGTCGCTTAATTGTTAAAATATTTTCACACGAGTCTCTGTGCGCCTTGCGTCATCCTTCGGTCGGACTGGACGCGCATTTAGTAAAAGCGACGACTGCCGCGCGAATTCGTAACTCGCCTGGTCTTAGCGCGCAACTCGCACGATTCAGATGTATCGCAAGTGGCGGCTGTATGGTGGTTTACGAGTCTCGCGTAAAGGCCACGACCTTGAACTTGTGCCTACGCAAGGGCAACGGCAGGCGAATACGCATGTAACGGTGTCGCGTGACCTGCTTGAAAAGAAAAAAGATAGAAACTCTCGAGACAGCGCCTATGTAGAAACCTGAATAGCAAATTGACTATAAATCGATATCATGGAAAATTAAAATCATTTTATGATTATCAGTAAGACAGCGTAGACCAGATACGTGACCATAGCTCTTAGGAGAATTGCATCCAAGAGAGAGAGAGAGAGAGAGAGATTTATATTACTACTTGTTGCAGATGATGACGTGGTGGTTCACGACCTTCATGGCACCAGCGATCAAGCAGAAGGTTCACAATTTGCCTGGAGTCGAGTATCTTTACGAGGTCATGTCGCCAGACCAGCTTGAAATTCGCAGATGATGACGTGGTGGTTCACGACCTTCATGGCACCAGCGATCAAGCAGAAGGTTCACAATTTGCCTGGAGTCGAGTATCTTTACGAGGTCATGTCGCCAGACCAGCTTGAAATTCCAGCGTACATCACGGAATACGACATGACGGTGAGTGTGGATCGACCTTTACTGCCTTGGATCGTAGATCATTCCGAAGAACAATTTCCACACAGATCCACACTGATCTCGATCTCTCGTCCGTGAAGCGAATCGCAAATAACATTATGTCCATTTTTATGCAGATAAACGGCCTGAGGTATTATCAACCAGAACAAACGGCGCAATCCTCGACGTAACTGAGAGAGTACGAGGTTAAAGGGTCATTCACAATGTTGCACTTCTCATCATTCAATTTATCGTTCATTATCGTGTGAACCATATGTATGTACCAAAGAGTCATACTTTTGCATAAGGACACATATAAACATATATACGTATATACACGGTACGCTTACACAATTAATATAAATATATATATATATATACATATGTGTAAGCGTATATATGCCGTTTCGACGAGTGGACTGGTGTTTGATATATAACGAGGAAACGAAAGAGAAAATTATAGAAGAAGAAGAAGAAGAAGAAGGACGAGGAGGAGAGGAAGAGTTGAGAATTACGAAAGTGTGTACAGTAGCAAAGAGGAGAACGTGTGATAGGAGCACGATTGTCCTGATGCATCCTTATCCTCGTTGGTTAAACCTAGAAAGGATGAAATCCCACATGCAGACCCAACCTGCAACTAGGAGCCAGTGTCTATGTCGTCCAGGAGAACCCAGATGCTGGGAACCCTCGAACGTTGAGAATAAGACCGTAGTTAGGATTTTCTAGAATGGTGCGACAGCGCATATTCGTTCAATTTTTTTAGATATTGACAATGAAAAAGAAGAAAATATATTAGGAAAATGCGTATCGCGAATCGTGCTGAAATCCAAATTTTCGTCGCGCACTCCAACTGTGGCCATTTGTCTCTTGAGAGTTTGGGAAGGCTCACAGGTTCTTTCTTTCTCTTTTTTCCTCTTCTGGGACTTTGAGCACGACTCGTGAAGCAATTTCGTAGCTTTATAGTGAATAAGAGAATAAGATGGTAAAGTGAAATGAAAGAAGAAAAAAAAATATTCTTATCTTCGCCAGCACACACATTGCTGCGTCGTCTTAACACTTACGTTTGACTAGTTTTAAGGCTACTATAAAGTTAGTTCAGTAATTAGAAGATTTTTCGAGGAAATAGCCGAGAGCGATCGCTCCATGGGGATTCTCGAGTATTTTTTGTGTTTTGCTTTTCTTTTGCATTTTTTGTTCGCTTTCTGAATTCCTTCGCAAGAATAACGATCTCCCGGGGTTCTACTCGAGGATCGCCGTGGATCGTATCGGCAACACGTCTTATTCGTTTACGAGCATTGGCTGCCAAAACACCAGTAATCAGTATTTCCACGTTGCGCGAAAGTTACATAGATCTATACATATAATTATATATACATGTTACAGAGTCGATGAAATTATTGTAAACTCGCCATTCGCCTTTCGCGAAAGTTCTTTGTTTACGGAAAGGAGGGAATTTCACGATATCGCGAAATTCTTTGTTTTACATATGAGTACTGTAGAAACGAAGCGCATTAATGATCGTTAAAGAAAGGAAGAAGACACGACTATACAATGACGAAGCTTGGAGAAAGGGAAACACACTGAAGAAAGTGAAAGGAAGAAGTGGAGTGTCTGTTTGTTTGCGCGAATGAGAGATTGTGAGAAAGGCGAGAGAAAGAAAAGGAAAATAACAAAGGCCGAATCTGATCACTTGACTCTTATTTTCTTATCGACTGTTACTAGATTGTCTATTTGGATGCCGCGTATCAGTATTTTACTATGTGACTTTGTTAAAATTGACCATACGTCACTGGAAGGACGTCGAATGCTTGTTTTGGGACAAATAAGTAACTGGTACATGAAAGGGACTCTGCGTGAAAGAGGTTGCGAGAAATTGGGTGAAAGAGCGAGAGAGAGAGAGGTTACAATTGGTTCCTCCAACGGAACCGCGCCTTCGGCAGTTGCCCACTTTTTGTCCAACATCGCCTCCGTCGCTTTGCTCGATTTTTTCTTGAGTCCCGCGGAGACCATAGAAAAATGGGTCGGGTTGTCTTTTTTTATTTTTTATTTTTCTCTCCTCGAGCAGGGAAAAATACGAGCAAACTGCGGAGGCGTCCGCAGGCCACACTTGTATAGGATAGCTAAAGCAATAAATTTAAGAGCTTCGCTACGATATGTCCTTATAGAGGGTAATTGTTGTTAACAATTTTTAGCAATTAATGCCGTCGATTAACGACCAACTAATTACCGCCCTCGTTTCCTAAGCCAAGAGAAGCACCCGCGTCCTTATCCCTAGAATCGAGACAGTTGTTACTGCACGTATTTTACAGTCTGTATTTATTTGTATCTCCCGCGACTCGTCCGCAGGTCAGTAGGTCCATTTAGTTGGCACAATGAAATCTTCAAAATGCCATTGACAGATTGATACTGCAAAATCTTGTTTAATGCGATTTCATGGGAACCAATGGGTCTATTCGTAAAAATAATAATGTCAATATTCTTTCGTGAAGTCGCTAATAATTTGTATTTTTTTTTCTGAACTAGATAAAATTATATCCGTTTGATACCCTCGGATTTGCGTAACGTTTCTGTACCAAGACGTATGTAGTTTCCTCGAGCGATAATTAGATTACGTTTATTTTATACGAATGATTATTCTGCTTTATTATGACTTATTCGTTGTTTTATCTTTTTTTTTTATAGCATATATATATATAAAAGGAACAATAAATATATTACTCGTTTTTTTTTTCTGAGACTCTTCCTTGCGTTCTCTTATCTGTCATCTTTTCGTACTCTTCTGTCATTTAACTCCGCAGGTCCAATCTTTATGCTAATTTGTGCGATAGCTTTTATCGTCGATCCGATTTGTAAGGGGTTAAACGAAATCTTCACTTTTTACGTAAATCAGGGATTTTCATTGTATCTTCATATTATTATTATCGGTGGTTAAGGATTTTGACAGTATCTTCTTCACCCTCTGAAATGTATTATCCACGCTAGTACAAACTCCCGCGTGCACTTATCACATAAATACTGAATCAATCGAATCGGTAACTCTCGATAAGGCACATACGTATTGTTATTGTCGACTGGGAAAATCTCGTGGATCACGAAGCGTTCTCAAGTCCCAAAGTACTTTCGCATATATGCGATATAAATAGATAAAACGAAATCGATTCGAACGAAGCGAAATCGCCAAACACAATCACATTAGGTACTATATACGAGAGAATAAGAATAAACGGCCAATCGGAAAATCTAATTGTAAGCAAATCGATGGGAATCCTCGCGGGGATTTCTGTTAATTCGCAAAAGTGCTTTCTCATTGGCCACCGAAGTAAGCCCTAGTAATTCAATCGTAAGCTAAGCAACATTTTTCGACAATGATCTTGCGCGGCAATTTCGGTAAGATAACTATCGTAGGATACACATACCTTGCGACGCATTGTAATCTACTGTCATAGCATTGTTGGCTATCATATTGTTGTTAATGATTCGGTTGCGGGGCGAAATAGGGATTATTAAAAAGAAAAGTTAATGGATGAAGGAAAAAGTAAAAAGAACAGGGGAGACATGGGCTGAGAAAAGGAACAGTAGTGGAATTTATGGGGAGGGGGGAGGGGGGCTCGCTGGGCTCATGGGAAAACAGGGTGGGAGGCGGGAGGGTGAGTCTAAAGCACGTTTTATATGCTGATGCGTTGTAAACTACGGTGTTAAAAAAGGCCACGTACTACGAGAAAAATAAGAAGTATCGAAAGAGAAAAAAGAAGATATTGTTCATTACTGTGTTGTATAGGGAGGTTATTATTATGACTATTAAACACGATTATTCTACGCTAAAATATTTTTTTTCATTGTTTTTACCTATTCTCGAAAAAACTTATTATCTATTCCACGTTGCTCCTTTACGTAAGGAAACTCCATATCGTTCGTCCTTGCTCGAGGCGTCTATCAGCGTCCGTGGCGTCTCTCGTTGTGCCTGTTTCAGAGTATAATAAACGACTATACGCACGACGCCCATCGAGCTCTCGACGTCCGAGCACGAACGCACGTAAATTCGTACTGTCGTTTTTGTTGATACTCAAGAATTTTACTACGAACAGTGAAGAACGCTGACTGCTACGCCCTCCTCGTACTGTATTGGCCTTGTACGCAGTACGTACAACTACGGATAGAGTCTCGATGGAAATGGACTTTGTCAAGGACTTGTCATCAGGAAGATCGAGGAGTTTTCACTTTCGGACTGTTTCGCGACTAGACAGATCGTGCTGGACGAGTGGAGTCTCACGGAAATTCAAAGATAAGTCGAGACCGGTCGGCACGTACGTTAGAATACTCTCGAGACAGTCGTTGTAATTCGTTATAATTCGTTCGAATTACTCGGGCACCATGATAGAAGACATGAAGGTACGGAAATTCAAATAATCTGTATTGTTTATATATGTGTATATATGTATATTATTTAACACTGGAAAGTCCGCAGCAGTCATTTTGATCACTGAATCTTATTCAATTTTAAGAATTTCATGACTTGACAATTTTATTAAACGCGAACGAATAATTGAATAATGATACAACGCGTGAAATTTTGAAAAAGTCGTTGGTGTGTAAGAACAAGTGAAAAAGTGCAACATGCGAAGTGTTAACGATAAGTGAAACTCTGTGGAAGACGACCCTGGGCAACACGTAACTCACCATAACGAATATTCATGTTATGTTTACTTTACGCGTCTCAACTCGTATGCATAACAGTCGATTTTACATTTTTCATGATTGAAGTAATCGGCCTGTCAACAGTCAACCAAAAGTTGACAGTTTCACCGAAGAGTGACCGTCGCGTTGAAAGATGCCGGGAATAACGTCGACGTACACGTAAAGTCATCACGCGAAAAAACAAAAGAGTAAAACAGAATGTGGGTTACCGACGTCTAGATCGGCCTACTGAAGGATTCGCAAAATCGATATTTTTAACTGTTGGATCCGTCGGACCATATTATTTATAGACAACGACGTACATACATACGTTGCGCTACGCCTGGCGACAGTAAGCGTTATCGATGATTCCTCTTCACGATTCAGCTCTGAGTGTTTTATCGTGCCTGACAATAATCAAACTAGTTTCGTGATAAAACTTTTCTTCTCGACCTCGAATCGTTATTAAAATTATTCACTTATTTCTTGTTTCACATATCGATGAATCAGTATGGGTAATAAGACAAAGACACACGCGTCGTAGGCGACAGGTATGAAACAGTACGCGACGCAACGCACGCGGCTGTGTCATCGCATTACATCACTTTATATGGGCCATTCCGGATAAGATAGGCTATCTTCTAGCCAGTCTCATTTTACGCAATTCAAATGACTTACAATGCCATGAAATAGTAAGGCGACCGTGCTTCAAGGTGTACGATTCTTGTAACGATCGAATGTACGTGCAGCTGTAATCTTTCCAAAGTATCATCGAGTCCTTCTCACGCGGTGAGTGCACGTAAAATATTATCTCAGCTGCCATCACTTGACGTATCGAAAAAAAAAACAACAGTTTTTTCAATAATGACAACACCAACACTACGATCGAATAACATTATGTAAAATCGTCTTACGACCTAACCCGTGAAACGCACGTTCTGAGAGTAATAACTTTTAGAATTCTCTGCACTTTTTATTTGATTTTTAATATCGAAACTTATCGCTAACTATGTACGTCAAGTAATTTGTCAACAAGTTGTACTGTTATTCTTACAAAGTATGAATATACCGAGCTGACACAAGTGAATAGCTATCAATACGTGGCTGTGTAAACGTAAACACAAAACGATGCGTAAACGCAAGTGATATTAAAATGGTAGGGAGTCGAGGATTGTAACTGTCAGTGGACGGAATACGTATGTATTTGCGTTTGTTCTAAATCTGTCAAAGAAGTCACGAGAGCCATAGGGAACCCTCGCGTGTGGTTTGTCAGACTATTTTACCGAGGGTTGTCTGAGCAGCGGATGGTAGTACAAGTGTTACTCAGCACGTTACACGTGTATCCCCGACTGACGAGCCTAACCACAATCTAACACAACCGTCCGGTCCTAAGCTTGACGTGCGATCTAGCGGCGGAGGGATAGTAGCGCAGACAAATGCGGGAAATTTGAATAGTCTATAAACTATAGATCGAATCGTAAAGTGAAAATATAAAGAAAAACGTTAAATGATAAGCTTTAATTTGAATTAAAGGCAAAGATGCAGCTACTGGGAGTGAAATTCGCACCGTTGAATATTCCCCTCGAAAGAAGACTTCAAACTCTGGCAGCTGCCGCTTGGATCATCATTCCGATTCTGGGAAGCATCACCGGCCTTGTCGTCACTATTTATCTACTTTTATTCACACAAAAAATACGATACTTCGTTCTAATCTATCTGATATGGATATACTATGATAGGGACACTTGCAACAGAGGCGGTAGAGGGTAAGTCATTCATTTTTAACGATCATACAACTTTGTGACGGTTAATGAGTTTGTGATTGATTATTCATTTTTTTAAAGACTTTATCGCGAAATATAACAATATTTTTATCGTATAATTTTTTTTATCGCTACTCCGCGTGGACGCTACTAATAGTCATTATCACTTATTGGAATAATTGACGTTATCGATAATCGAGTACCAATAAATCGTATCTAGTTTACGTAAGTTATATCTTATGAGAGTAACGTGACTTTTTTTTAATGCAAATTGCATTACCAGTAAATACTATGACATATATTTTTGTACACGGTGTACGTAATTGATATCGTATTTACTTAAAATGGCCTGATGATTCTGTGAAATCATTCATCAGTGAGAAGCCTTCGTTAAGTGCAATGCGAATATTCCAAGGTTCACTGGTGTTGCAACACAATCCAATGTATCGGTGACTGCTTTATTTTTCATGCTAATATTTTTCTTTTTCCTCTGTTATTTTAATCAGCGAGAAATATACTACGTGGATGAGAAATTGCGCCTGGTGGCGATACTTCTGCGCCTATTTTCCCCTGAAACTCGTCAAGACCGCCGATCTGGATCCTTCGAGAAATTATTTATTTTGTTCTTTCCCTCATGGAATTCTATCAACTGGAGCTTTCGGCGCGTTCGCCACGGATTGTCTTGGCTTCAAGGATCTCTTTCCAGGACTGGAACCCAGGATGCTCACGCTTGACCAACACTTCAAAATTCCATTTTTTCGAGAATTCGTATATAGTTTCGGTGAGTCCTTTTATTTCCTAATTTAGGGTATACTTTTGCTGGGGACAAAAGTCAGTCGATGCCATTGGCTGAAATTTAGTAACCAAAACTGTGATTCAATTACACCAACACACCCTTAATTCTTTAACGAAAATTTGTTCCCCATGAACGTTCACTTGTTTCCTCAATTGTGTTATTAATGTTACAGGCGCTTGCAGCGCCAGTGCCGAAAGCATCGACTATCTAACCGGCGCACCAGGAACCGGCAGAGCCGCAGTACTTGTTGTAGGTGGCGCTTCCGAGTCGCTCAGATGCAAACCTGGAACTTATCGCATCATTCTGACGCGAAGGAAAGGATTCGTTCGTATTGCTCTCAAGAATGGGTTAGTTTCGTTTTTATTCTTTCTTCAACTCGAGCAAGAAAACTTTCTTAAATTCTACACGGAACTCATTTCTCATAGGACTCCACTGGTTCCTGTCTTTTCCTTCGGGGAAACGGATCTGTACGACCAATTTGATAGTCCTGAAGGATCCTGGCTGAGAAAAGTTCAGGAAAGTTTAAAAAAGCTTACTGGAGTCGCACCGGTCTTGCTGATTGGTCGAGGTCTGTTTCAATATTCCTTTGGAGTAGTGCCTCTAAGAAAACCTGTCACTGTAGTCGGTAACGTATAACAATTTTTTTTTATTTAAGACCGATAAGGATCCTTTGGCTAAAAAAATATATTTTATTCAGTGGGATCGCCGATAGAGCTACCCAAAATTTCGGAACCCACCAAGGAACAGGTCAACGAGTATCACGCCAAGTTCGCGGAAAATTTAATAAAGTTGTTTGAAGAGTACAAATACAAGTATCTGGAAAATCCCGAGAAAGTTTCTCTCGTTATCGAATGATCGTTTAAAGGCCAAGGAATTAATGCTTCATGAGTATTTTCCTAAGAAGCTACTGGCTCACGGTATGTTCACTTATTCAGTCATCCTTTGCGTTATAAGAAATACACAATTATTTGAGATGATTAGAGAATTTGAGACTTAATAATTACTTTAAATAAAATACTTATTTACTTGTTATCTGCGCGTACAAATGTATCGTATTGAAATTACGTGCCATAAATCATTTTTTTTTGTTTATGTAGAATTGTAAATATAGAACGAGCGAATCACGGAGTCGTTAATTGAAAATTGTTTTTCTGAATAAGTTTTCCTTTATGAAAACCATTTTTTTGTAAAAACAGAAACAATTGCAAGGAGACCTGCGCCAGTCAACCAGAGACTTTGACCGATGATCTGTAAAATTATGTAAAAGTTTACAAGGTTCATAATGAAAAAAAAAGAGGACTTTATTTTTGTAAAAGCTGCTACGGTATTTCTATACCTTGTCCTGCCAGGCTCTGTTCTCTATGCAGTCTCGGAATGTCATTCTGGAGAAATGAACAGTGCTGTACAAAGGAAGCCACGTGTTTGGAAAGAGCCAGTAGAGAACCGTGTCGAAGTACTTTCTCAAAATGAATGATTTCTTCCTGACCAAATCTCTCATCTGTAAGGCACGTAAAATATAAGTGGTCGGAGATGCACAAAGTTGTTGATACAATTTTTCGTAATATTTGAAAAAATACCTCAACGTAGTTGTACATGGCCAAATCGCAAATGGCGTGTGCATTTTGGCATCGAGTTTCTGAGAAGGCAGGCAAAACTTTACTTAAATCGGAATCATATAATTCCATTAACTTGTCTAATATTATGACGTCTTCGAATCCCTGAAGATTTTCGAAAGTAAGTTACAAGAATTAATTTCACGAATTATTTGATTAATTAATAAACCCACTGCGTTCATCCCTTGCGCATAAAAGGGAACCATCGCGTGCGCAGCATCCCCAATTATCAAAGCAGTTTTTCCTACGTGATACGGTTTGCACTGTAATAAAACCTTGGAAAATTAAAATATCTCTAAACACAAAGATTTAAAGAAATGACTGACCTTGATGGAAATTAAAGTTTTCGGTTCGCTGGAAAAAAAGTCTTTGACCAATTTTTCACGTCCGATCAGTGGCAGCACGTCCGGAAATTGATCCTCGTAAAAATTTAACAAATTTTCAGGAGTGTCCAAGGCTCTCAGAGTTTCAAAAGGCGCAAAAAGATTCCCTGTGAAGCTACGATCTTCATTCGGCAGAGCAATCATCATGAACTCTCCTCTTGGCCATATATGAAGATTCCCATCACTCATGGCAAACTGTTATACAACGTTACAAAAAAAAAAAAAAAAAGTTAATCACAAATTTCAAAATATCCACAGCCATTTCTACTCACATCATTATCGCGCGAAGGTGGAATATATATTTCAATGTAGCCATGTTCTATGTAGGTTTGACTGAAGTCAAAGAGGGGTCTCTTGATCATGCTCTTCCTGACGGTCGAGTAGGCTCCATCGGCACCAACAATAAGATCAGCTTCAACGTTGCTAGTAACTTTTGTTCTGGTACTAAAAGAAAAAAAACAATGACGAGAGTCCGTAATTCTTCGTAATAACGAACAATGACAAAGTCATTTGACTCACTTGAGCAACTTCATTTTTCCACGATCAAGATCAACGTCCACCAATTTTTCATTGAAATGCAACTCCAGGCCAGGATACGTCTCTGCGGCTTTCGGATTCCGAAAGAATATTGAACGTTATGAGCTTCGCCACAGACGTGAATTCGTAAGCAATATCCATCGCGCACGTGTAATTCTATAGCCTGGAAATCTTATGGCTTCACGCACCTCGCAACGCGATACCCAACGTGATCTCTTTTTCCGAGAGGATCGAATTTACCAATCGATTACGACACTCGTGAAGTTCAATAATTCCATAGGAATTTCAAACGATTCAATTTCATCGAACGTTTCTGATGTCAGGATTATCAAAAAACAAAAAACAATCACCGAGCAGCGTAACCCCGAAAAAAAATTGATTAAACACATTAGGCAACTTAATAGTGGAACAAAATTTCATGTAACACCCAGATTAACTGCGAGAACAATATATTAATGCGTGTAATGACGTAATCTCTGGAAATCCGTAATCAGCAGGGCGAGGCAGGTCATTCGGCCTGCCTTGCCAACAAGGAATACATTTCGAGCACAGTCAAACGGTCGATCTTTCTTCATTTTGCCATGCAGCAGCAGGTTAACTGAATAATTATGTACGCGGCACTCTCGCGATTTTGCCTGACGAATGCACAAAAGGTAATAGTGATATTTATAAATAATTCATCCGCGCGAGGAATATTTTTCCTTTTTCCCTAATTGTTTATCGGGATTTTACGCGGAGGATAGGTTTTCACAGCATCCTTTGTAATCGGATACTTTGTGAATGGACCAGTCAAGCTGCCAAAAGGCAAAAGGAAAAAGTCACGTAATTTGGGACTGATGGAAGCACCGTTTGAGCCTGTGCCGTTCAACTATAATATTAAGCCCGGACACAAACCAATCACTAGTTGGGAACTGTTGATGACTCGTGCGCAAAACATACATAGACATAAGACCGAACCCGGATATCAAGATATTCAAACAGACGAAAAGGAATTGAAGCCCATGCACTACAATTACGACAGCATGAAACATAACTATGCGCTTTAGTCTGAACTTGACAAGATAAGCTGGAAAAATCCAAAATGAGTCTGAACGTTCGTAATAATTGTTATAAAATTGAAGTAACGTCAATCAATAAAGTTAATTCACAACCCTGTAGAGATGGACATTTTTTTCTTCATACTCACCATTCAACAGAACCTCGTTAAGGTACTTCCGGCTGACGGAGTAAATGCACTGGGCGACAGACAGATTCGATTGGGTTTTATGAGAAAAATAAATAAATTCATTGGCAATTGTAAAGGAACTCACATTCTTTTTTACACTGTCGTAAATTATTTCTCTAAGGGTGCCATCCCTCTCGTGGATCATTCTACCACGCATAGGAATCCCGTGACGGTTCACCAGGAGGTCTTCCAGACCCACTTCCCTCAGGGCTTCTCTGCCACGAGTCGACAGTGCCAAATCGATACTCTGCCCGCGCGAATCTTCCACCCGAATATCTACAATTTTATAATCGCCAATGGAATAATCGATTGACAGTTTGCCAATTCTTGATCGTCGTCATGATCGTTAGCTACCTGCCCGATACTCGTAGACGCGAACCTCGTGGCCTCTCTTGGCAAAATAACAAGCAGTCAGTGCGCCGACCTGCAAATTCAACGCGAACGGATCCAATTAATTCTATTTAATTTCCACTGATAATTATTCAATATTTCTTTGACTTTTGAGAGGAATTTCTTTTCTTTCAACTAACGCACCAAACCACCACCTACTATTGCCACCTTCAATTTACGGGACTTGTCCGTCATGGTGTCTGTCAATTGACTGAAGCCACTGAAGCCAGTGGTTGTTAACCGATGTTGACCCCCGCCTGGTCCCGCCTGCTCGCGCTTGGAAAATCGGCACTAACCGCAGCGCCTCTGGTGTCCAGCTCGGGCATGTCAGACACTAAACATGTGGAGATCAAGTTCTAAAGTGTCGATAGCTCAGGTTTGTTTTAAATTTCCGCATTAAATAAGTTTCAATACAGGGGGGGGGGGGCGTAGCCCAGTGGATAGGATAGCGGATTCACGACCGAAAGATTGGAGGTTCGCGCCCAGCTTCCAGCGGCACTCACCAATGGGTTTTCATATGAAAACTTAAGTGAGTATTTATACGGATTTCGCCCAAGACTGTTCGGATTCGGTGTATAAACTTTGTGTAGGTCCCCTCACGCTGAGTTGAATAAGGCGCGTCTCGCAAGATACATCGCCATCTATTGTCGAACTTCCAACCATGATTATTAGGACCAGTTACTGGCACATGTCCCCCATTGGGGATACCGCCATAAGGAAAGGAAGGGAAGTTTCAATACATTGATTACGTGTGTGTCCTTAAAAATTTGCAGAAATGTCATCCCGATCGATTCTGACGTAAAGTCGACCAAGTTCTATCCGTCCAAGAGGTACTAAAAAATGGAACACAGTCTAGGACAGAAAATATTAATTATTTTCTAATTACACCCGCCTAACGTATCGCTGCGCGGAAAAACCGCAGGAAAATGACTTCCGTCGTGCAAAGTACGGAAAATGTCTCCGTAGCATTATACGTAGGTACAGAAAGATGAGTCCGTCCGAGTCGCATCAGATTTCCGATTGGTCGAACGTCATAACAAAGACGTCGCAGGTCCGTGGCTGTCAAGTATTCGAGAAGTCGGAGAAGTGAGAAAATAAAAAGAACTGGGAAACGGGAAAAAGTAGTGAGGCGGGGAGCGCGCTGCTATCGCAAGTATCCCTCGGGTCCCGAACGGCCCGGCGGCGAGGGTGCCCGAGGGTGCCCGAGGGTGCCCGAGGGGAGGATCGGCGTTGTCCGAAAATCAAAAATAGCCGGTCGCAGTTAGTGCGGCGATGTCGACGGCGAACGGTGCACGGCGGTGGAGCGCCGCGCCGAGGGCATCCACGCTCCTCCTGATCGCGTTCCTGGTGTTGTCGGGGTGCTTCGCGGGATTTAGTGATGCCGCCAGGGTGAAGCAGGAGGATACGCCGGCTCCTCGTGGCGCCGGTGCCAGGAGTGCAGCCCCCAAGGAGGCCGAACCGGTCATCGAGGAGGTCACAGCGAAGCAGCTCGAACGGATCCTCAACGAGAAAGACTTTGTCGCTGTGTACTGGTGTAAGTGGGAGGCTTCGTGGTGTATTTCAATAATCGACAATCGATCCTCGATAATCGAGATCGATAAACCGGATCGAAGATCAAATCGAATATTGTGCAATTACAATTAAAAGATGTATCCGACGATTTTTTTTTTCAAATTTATTTTACAAATTTTTGTTAACTTTTCCTACTTTGCACTGTGTGTCCTCTGTGCTTTTGTTGGTGTGTGTGTCGATGTGTCTCCGTGTGGTACGACGAGACTCAAAACTGACCCGAATGATACTGCAGGAGTATTTCTACCGCAGTTACATGTATATTCGTCAATTTCATAGCCAGATCTCCTTATACATACGCTGAATGATCGCCCGGAGGGTTGCCAATCGGCAGGGGCTGTGCGGGCTTTGCCAGACGTTACGTTCGAGCTGAACTGCGGAAACCACGGGATCGCGTGAGCTTTCGATCGCAGGCAGCACGTGGCGAACGTGCAGACTTGCGTAATGAGAGTAGCTTTAAATGTAAAGCTCCAATTGTTCTCTCTCTCTCTCTCTCTCTCTCTCTCTCTCTTTACCTATCTATCCCTTTCGCTCACTCGCTCAAATGGCTCGCGCAACGTCGCGCCTCCGCAACAACTATATGTTGCCAGCAACTCTGAGGATTATGAGAGAACGAGTTTAGATTTTTTAGAAAAATTTTAAAAAAATATTTATTTCGATCACGTCTTAAGGTTCATTCGAGACTTTAGGTCCAATCTAATTTTCGAATTTGCGAAGATTCCTGCTCGTTTGCGAAGATCCAAAAATTGTCTGGTCCGCCAAAGCACGTTACGTAATTGAAAAAGGAAAAGGTCCAAGAACGCTGAATTTTGACAGTTCGTCCTTCCGACGCGTTCTGGTCCATCTGCAGAAAAAGCACAAATTGATCATGACACCTGTCAGAGGATCCACTAATCGGTCGGGATTGTTAAATCAAAGCTTCGTGATGATAATTTAACGAATTGCTCAGTCAACGATTTTCGTTTGATCTTCGAAGTCCGTTTTATTTCCATCGTCGTCCCACTTCCTGACGCGAGACCAGAGACAGCTCGTTCCTTTGTTCCCTTTCGATTTGTCCGATTTCTTAATCGACATCAATTGCATAAATAATAAAATCCAATAAATCTATATAACCAATCGATTCGACTGCGAGGATCCTTTGAGAACGTCCTGCCGAAGGACGATCGATTATTCCGAACGGAGCGCCACTCGTCCCGGATCCTGTTCTCTCTGGGATCGGATTCGATCGGATCGGATCGGTATCCGTCCCTAGAGAAGTTCTGAGCTTCTAAGCTCGCAAGCAAGGCCGGCGGCGCTCGGTAGTCGCTGCTTTTAGAACACGAGTTATTTTGGCACGCGCCGCCACCTCGCGCTATCGTCTCGGCTGAAAACATTGTGACATACTGGTTCCGTCCTACGTCCCCCCTATATATCCTAGGAAATTAGCGAGCAACAGATCGTCCCTTGATTTTTTCCTAATTAACTCAGCCTCAGCATCTCTTTCATGGACCACGCTCGATTTTCATCTCTGAACCTAATCATAATAATTGCCGACTGCGAGCGGTTATCGGTGCCTCGAGTCTTCGAGGTGATAAAATATTTGTATGGCTTAAGCAAAATGTCATAGGGACGATTATAACTTGAATTCGCGCGTCGAATAAATGAAGGAGGTTAGAGTGACGGCAGGCGGCACAGTCGGCACAGTCGGCACACGCGCTCAGCCGCGTCTAAAATTGTAGCTGCGTTCAGTTCGACAGGCAATTTCCCAGTGTGCGTGGTCTCGCACGCAACGGGCTTCGTGAGGACGTCTTATGTGGGACACAATGCGTGGGAGAGACGTGGATTCCCTTCTATTCCGTTCGTTTCGTCCGACTGTTCGTTCTCTCTGTCCGTTCCTACGGCTCAGCCTGTAGCAGTTGGGGACTCGCGGGTAAACGCGAATAAACCTTGGAAGTGGATAAGGGGAGGATTGAGGGGAATGGAGAGAGAGAGAGAGAGAGAGAGAGAGAGAGAAGCGAAACAGATGTACTCTTATTATCTTTATGCAACGCAAATTCGAATTACACGTCGTGTTGCAGTTTGTTAGAGATTCCTGGGGGGGGGGG